CGATATGTTATTCTGGATTAGGTCTTTTGTATAATATATATTGATCAAATCTGGAACAAGAAATATCTTTGCGTTCCTTTTCAAAAGTCGACTGATACACGAGTGTCTACGGAATGATGTTGATAACGTCTTTCGTATTATATGAGATATATTTATCAAATCTGGAACAAGAACGGCTTTAAAAGTAGTCTTTAAAAGTCGATTGATACACGGGTATATGCGATATATTATTCTGAATTAGGTCTTTTGTATCATAAATTTATCAAATCTGGAACAAGAAAGATTTTTACGTTCCTTTTTAAAAGTCGACTGATACACGAGTGTCTACGGAATGATGTTGATATCGTCTTTCGTATTATATGAGATATATTTATCAAATCTGGAACAAAAATGGCTATAATAGTAGTGTTTAAAAGTCGACTGATACACGAGTATATGCGAAACGTTAGCCTAATTCTTTCGTATAGGCGATTTATCCATCAAATTAGATAAAAGAGAGGTCTTGATGTTCCTCTTTAAAAGTCGACTGATACACGAGTATATGCGGCATGATATGGATTTACTTTCGCATCATAGATATTTATCAAATCTGGAACAAAAATGGCCTTAAAGTTACTTTTTAAAAGTCGACTGATATACGGGTTGTATACATCATCTCAGTTTAAGTCTTTCGCATCATATATTTATCAAATTTAGAGCAAGAAAGGTCTAATCTTTAATGTCGACTGATACACGAGTATATGCGATAGGTGGCTGAGCTTTCATATTCAACCCTTTTCGCCTCTCTCTCTCTCGCTTCTTTTTTCTCCCTCCCTCTCAAGAATACTGAACATTTGTTCACGCCAAAGATAATCCAATCTCCCCTTAGCAAATTCATTGGAAACAGTTAATCGAGAAGCAAAACGATGCTACATAAAAAGATAATGTTATTCCAGTCATTAAACGCATGAGTTAAAAGAGAGGAAAGAAGGCTGGGAAAATCTGATACTCGCAAAACACATTGAAGACAAAAGGGACAGGGGAAAACAACGCATGACGTACTTGACGAGGTTTAGGAGAGATAACAAAAAGACAGAATTTATTAAGAATTACAAAGCACAGGAAATTGTGGAGAGCCATGATCGCCAATGTTATGAAGAGACGCAGCACATAGAAGAAGAAGAATGGGCTTTAGTAAATGGATGGCGGAAGAAGGTTTAGAAGAGATAACAAAAAGACAAGATTTATTAAGAGCTACAAACGACAGGAAATTGTGGAGAGCCATGATCGTCTACGTCCTGAAGAGTCACTGCACATAGAAGAAGAATGAGCTTTAGTAAATGGATGGTGGAACAAAGTTTAGGAGAGATAACAAAAAGACAAAATATATTAAGAATTACAAAGGACAGGAAATTGTGGAGAGCCATGATCGCCAACATCCTGAAAGGACATGACACGTAGAAGAAGAGTGAGCTTGAGTAAATGGATGACAGAACAAGGTTTAGGAGAGATAAGAAAAAGACAAAATATATTAAGAGCTACGAAGGCCAGGAAATTGTGGAGAGCTATGATCGTCTGCGACCTGAAGAGACACGGCATATAGAAGAAGAAGAAAAAGAAGAAGAAAAATAATAATAATAATAATAATAATAATAATGAACTTTAGTAAAGCGATGGCGGAACACGGTTTAGGAGAAAGAGAAAGTCAACATTTATTAAGATCTATAAAATATCGAAAAATTGTGGAGAGCCATGAAGGGACACGTTACATGGAAGAAGAAATCTGACACAAGGCTACACTCGTGGAGCACCTGGTAATGGACAAAGTAGTAAGCCTGCATGATTAATCTGTTAATTGATGCTATTCAACAATCACTTGATTTGGGAGGGTTCATTTGAGTTATTCAGCAAGAAATTCGTTTTGTGTCAGCCCCACTATGTCTTCCCAACTGAGCAATGGTGAGAGGAAAAAGATCATTCAGGCCTTCAGTAATGGTACCAACATTCATACTATGGCTTCCATCTTCAAAGTCCATTTAAAAATCATAAAGAGATAATAAGCTTGAAGAAGAGGGAACAGTAGAGGGGAAAACTGGATCAGGTGGCCACAACAGCAAGAGGGATCATCATTTCAACCTAGAGCTGAAGCGATCGATTAGAAAAGATCCAACTCAGTCCACAAGACGTTTGGCAAGGGAGAGAGGAGTTTCAGCTATGACAGTCCAAAGAGCAATGAAAAAAAGACATGAAAATGAAATCATACGTGAAACATGTGAAGCACTTTGTTTCTGATTGATTTATTTTTTTTACAGCTTGTCAACCCTTTATGGCTTTAAACCAAAACCTATTATGGATTGTAGAAATAATACTTGTTTTTTTCGCGTTTGAAAATTGCATTAGCAACTTTTGGGAGGTAATAATGATTTTTCCAGATACATGTCCTACTATTTAACCCATAGGAGAGGAGATGGATTCATACCTTTTCCAAGGGTATTTGCACTGTAAGTAACTATAACGAACTGGACTGGAATTCGAACTCGGCACTCTGATTTCTCATTCCGAGCAGCTGTTCATTAAACATCCTAGCTTACAGTACTTGGTATTCCCTCGCGTTGAGGTATACATTCTTGGCAATAACTCTGGATAGAGTTATGTATGACCCAGAGGTATTAACTTAAATCCCTGCGAAACCTTTAGATATATGTTCGCTAATACGATTTGAGAAGGAACTATTAATAGCTCAGATGCCTTCCACAGCGTTGGTGAAGTATTTAAATAGATATTTCTGAATATACCTGGAGAAGGTATTTGCATGAGCCCAGAATTCTTCACATAAGCCTTAAAGAAATATATTAACCGGGTGTAACAGCAAAATTGCTCAAATCATGTAACAGTATAATTATACAAAAAGTTTAATCTCTAAAACAAATGCTAAACTACTTGAGTTTCTTTTTTCCACGTTTTCAGATAAGACGTTGAATCATCTTGATATCAATTTTCGTAAGAATCACTGAAAAACCCTTTGAGTTATTCAGCTAGAAATAGAACAGGTTAAATTCGTTTTGTGTCATCCCCACTATGTCTTCCCAAGTAAGCAATGGTGAGAGGAAAAAGATCATTCAGGCCTTCAGTAATGGTACTAACATTCATACTATAGCTTCCATCTTCAAAGTCCATTTAAAAATCATTAAGAGATAATAAGCTTGAAAAGGAGGGAACATTAGAGGGGAAAACTGGATCAGGAGGCTACAACAGCAAGAGGGATCATCATTTCAACTTAGAGCTAAAGAGATCAATTAGAAAAGATCCAACTCAGTCCATAAGACGTTTGGCATGGGAGGGAGGAGTTTCAGCTATGACAGTCCAAAGAGCAAGGAAAAAAGACATGAAAATGAAATCATACGTGAAACATGTGAAGCACTTTGTTACTGCAGGAGAGAAAATTAGAAGATTAGAGAGGGCGAAGTTCATCTTGAATGTTGGAAAATGATCCTGTTATAATATATATATATATATATATATATATATATATATATATATATATATATATATATATGAACTTTATACCAATCCTTCATGCGCTTCTGATCCTTATCTATGATTAAGTAATGATGAGCATGTCATTTTCGTTTATGATCGATTTCATCACGATTCTTCTGTTGAGCTCGGAGAGTGATTATACATTTTTATTGCTCAAAATAGAGCCAGCCCAATAATTTTATAGAAGTCTCAGTAACACCTTGCGCCTTAAGGGCTTTATTCCCTTGCTTAGAATTTCAAATCAACGAGCCTCATTGAAAGTGCAATTTTTTTTCGTGATTCGAGGCCTACACGGTGAAACGTTATTATCATGATTTTTTTTGGGGGGGGGATTGAATGTTTCAAGCTAGGATTCTTCTGTTAAACCTGAGAGTTATTATACATTTTTATTGCTCAAAGTTCAATAGTGTTATGAAGACCTCGTAGAATTTCCAGTAAGATATCTTTAATCATTTTTAAGATACAACGGTTCAGAGACATTTTTGCTGTTATATATATATATATATATATATATATATATATATATATATATATATATATATATATATATTTCTAAAGATATAATGGACATTTTAAATTTATTAATCCGACATATTTTTTCCATTTTAAATGTTATTTTTCGTAGATACCAAAAATTAAATAGACGCTCTCGTTTATTTTAAACAGTATTTTATTTCGTCTACCGTTCTAAATATTCGTGGAATCTTATCAAAGAAAAATGCTGCCCCCAGTGAGATTCGAACTTGCTTTAACTGACGCGGATATTTTAAACAGTATTTTATTTCGTCTACCGTTCTAAATATTCGTGGAATCTTATCAAAGAAAAATGCTGCCCCCAGTGAGATTCGAACTTGCTTTAACTGACGCGGATGTTACCTTAAAGGTAGGTGTAGAAGCTTGCTTAATCGCAATGGTCTTCGTAGCCTCGTCGGTTAAATGCACGTCGGATCTAACAACAATTTCGGCAAAGCTGGTTGGGGAGGTTCGAATTCGCATCATGGAGTAAATGAGAATGAAAAGACTTTAGAAGGAAACAGAGAACAGGCGATAAACCATTAAACATGTTCTAAAGGTTGGGGAGGAGTGTGAACTGGACAATAAGCTAACCTGTATACTCCTATTTTTTACGGTTTATCAGTCTGTGGCAGATTATTTAAAACCGGGTTTTTTTTTATCGTAACAATGTTTTGTTGATAATAACGATTTAATGATACAGGCCCTACTGATTAACCCATATCTAAGGGGAGAAGAAGTGGATTGCTAACTTTCCCAAGAATATAACGAACCCGACTAGAATTTGAACTCGGCTCGCCTATTTCCAATTCCGAGTCGTTATCGCACATCCATGTTTAGGCACCTGATATTCCCAAGCGGCCACTCATTGACTATGTTGGACGTTGCTTAACTTCGTTGATTGTACGAGAACCGGTATTTCAATGTGATATGGCCGTAAGCCCTTTACAACCACCATTACATCCAAGCTTACAGCGCCAGGTATTCCCAAGCAGACACCCATCTAGGTACTGACCAGGCTCGACGTTGCTTAACTTCGGTGATTGTATAAGAACCGGCGTTTCGACGTGATATGGCCGTAAGCCATACCATCCGCACCTCTAAACTTACAGCACCGAGTATTATCAAGCGTTCACCCAGCTAGGTGCTGACCAAACTCGACGTTGCTTAACTTCGTTGATGAGAATCCGTGTTTCAACGTGATATGTCCGTAAGCTATACCACCCGCATATCCAAGCTTACTGCATCTGGTATTCCTAAGCAGTCACCCATCTAAGTACTGACTAGGTTCGACGTTGCTTAACTTCGGTGATCGTACGAGAACAGGAGTTTCAACATGATATGAACGTAAGCCATACCACCAGCACCTCTAAACTTACAGCACCGGGTATTACCAAGTGTTCACCCATCTAGGTACTGACCAGGCTTGAGGTTGCTTAACTTCGATGTTCGTACGAAAACAGGCGTTTCAACATGATTCGACCGTAAGCCATACCACCCGCACATCCAAGCTTACTGCACTTGGTATTCGCAAGCAGTCACCCATCTAAGTACTAATCAAGTTCGACATTGCTTAACTTCGGTGATCGTTCGAGAACATGCGTTCTCGTACGATCACCGATATGGCCAGCACCGTAAGCCATACCACTCGCTCCTCTAAATTTACAGCACCGGGTATTACCAAGCGTTCACCCATCTAAGTACTGACCAAGCTCATCATTGCTTAACTTCGGTGATCGTACGAAGGAAACAGAGAAAGAGTTATGGCCGTAAGCACTTATTCATAAGTCCTGCCATTTTATGGACTCCTTCATGCTTGCTTCCTTGTACACTTCCATCTTGACTTCATTACGTCATGGTTAAATCCTTATCTATCTCCCCTTATCCTTTTAATCTTCACTCTAATACTTTCTTTTCCGGTCATAATCCGCGGTCCATTCACACCTCACCCTTACCATTACGACTCTAATCCTTTACCTGTACGGTCAACTAAATAAGTTTCATGACCGCCTATCATTACAGTCTGGGTAACAAGCAAGCCTCAGGAACGACCCACAACCTTCAGTACCCCGGAGCGAAATTAGCGTTCACAGGTATTATTTGTGCCTGATCTCCGATTAATAGATATATCTTGAAATTAAATACCCCGTTAACATCGCCCACCATTATCATCCTATTTTAAATGTCCTTGTCCCTACTTTCGTCAGTTTGCACGACTGTTACGGCCTGCCAACACCTCATAAATAATGGACTGTTCCGTTTTGATTGCGTAGGAAGAGTGAAAAGACACTACTTGGTTTCAGAGAAACTAAAGAAGATAGAAGTGAGGGAGAGAGAGAGAATCCGATTAAGCTGTTAAGACCATTTTGATGTTAGCCAAAAGGCCGAGATGTGGTTGTATTTTTCTAGCCATCCCAGGCTGGCAGGATATGACACAAGGTCAGTTTAATTTCGGTAGCTCAAGCGCGTGTACTCGGGCCGGGTTTGAAAATAGCCCAGCGCCACCGCAAACGTTGGTTACGCTGGCATCGGTATTACTAACGATTCCCGACGTCTTTCGTGCAATAAGGGACGTACTGTTGTGGGTAGCTGTTTACAGAGACCGGGCGCCTCTCAGCAAATTTTCAGTTAGCCTCTGTCCGAAGACAGGGACCCAAATGAGAGGTGAAATGCAGTTTATCCGCCCAAGGACACATGCTACACTTTGATCCCAACCAAAAGACCGAGAAGTGATAGCGACCGAGATAAAAAAAAAAAAATGTCATTTTTAAGACGAACAGTATAGAACGACGGTGACCTACTAAAGCAATCGCCAAAAATACAGTTACCATAAACAAACTAATTATTTGCTAATTCTAAATTATTAAGATAAATGTTCGTAAAACTGCGATTTGGTTTATTATTATTATTATTATTATTATTATTTCAGAAAGCAGCGCATCAATGAACTTACGCAAGAGCACAATTATACGAAACCCACTGTAACCATCATGTCACCCAATCTGATAAGGGCATCAGTTGCCCAAGGCCCCGCCCTGTCATTGCACCAGAGAGAGGGATCAGTGATCGCACCGAGGCCAGCGCTACGGTTACGGAGGCTGCGGGCAATTTTTGTCCCTTGCCCGGGTGTACGTGATCGGGTCCCCTTTTTAAAAAAAGACCTTGTGTCACAACTAGTCTAAGTGGGGAGACAGAGTAAATACCTAGTTAAGATTTAGTCAAATTTCAGTACAGTTGCTTACAAACGAGTTGCTTATAAAAAATAATTACGTGCACGTTGCGCCGTATATTGTAAGAGTTTTACTCATTAATCCGAACGAACTTTTTGACCAACACAGACTAACTTCTATGTCATCATAATCAATGTTATTACAATTTCTTTTTTTTCAGAGTCGCCTGCCGGAAGTGTTATCGCCGTCGTCAGTCCAGGCCCCTTATTACTACCCCATGAGCCTCGAAGGCGTTGCAAAATCAATCCACAGAGATAAGTGGTGAGTTGCTAAGTAAAACGTAGTAAATAAATCTAGATGGCTTGTCAATTCTAACGCTACCAAAACTAAACTTCTCTCCATTAATCATCTGAGAGAGCCTTCTCTGCCTTCCATCATCATGGCTGATGCTAACCTCCAGGAAAGTGAACCGTAGGACCTTCTCAGGCTAACGTTCTCAACTGATATGAAGTGGAAAGACCATACTGAATCCATTGCTAGGTCAAGCTGCTAAGAAAGTCGGTTCACTGTGTCGTACAAGACAATTTTTCTTGGCATCTACGCTGATGATACAACCGTTTACACTGTGTCATACGAGACAATTTTTTCTCCGGAATCTACCTTACATATCTATAAGTCTACCATTCGTCCATGCTTTGAATATTACTGGCTGGCATCACGGTCCCACCCTTTAACTGTTAAATCGGTTAAATGTAACCGTCTCTTCTCAAACAGCTTCATCTCCTACACTTCCCGTCTGTAGAACACCCTTCCCCTTACTGCTTCTCCGATTACTATAATCTTCAAATATTCACGTGTAATGTCACTCGACACCCTGAGCTTGTTCCCCGTCCTTCTCTGTATCCTGTCCTCAAACACGGCTCTTTACTCTTGTTCTCAATCCTCTGTAACCCCTTGCGTGCGAGTGGCCCTCTCGCGTTGCTTGGGATGAATTGCCTTAAAAATGAACATATGGTCCAGTACCCCTACTATTTACCTAGAGCTCCTTCAAAAGACCAAAGAAGAAGCAGCAATATTATTGGTCTTGACCTGGTATCTCGGTTTTAGTCACTTACCTACCGCAGTAAGGTTGCCTTTCTGTACCTTTTTTTTTTATAAATACTTTCATGGTAATTGTTCGGATGAGCTCTTCGCAGTGGTATCTGGATTTTTTTAAAATTAAACGCAGCACTAAACTAGCGTCGAGATCTCATCAATTTACAGTTGCGCTGGCTAGATGTAGCCGTAAGTTCTATGCTAACAGTTTCTTTACTTGCATTTCTCGATTGTGGAATTCCCTTCCGGCTTCATGCTTTCAAGCCAACTTTAATCTGCAAACATTTAAATGCAATGTCAATTGCTATCTACTGTCCTCCTGATTACTCTTTTCTCTTCCCGCTCATTATTAATGTTTCTGTTCCTAATTCTTCCTCACCCTGTAACGCATTGTGTCTTAGGGGCTTTACTCTCTTACTTGTGGAACTCCCTTCCGACTCCATGCTTTCCAGCCAACTTTAATCTACAAAATTTTAAATGCAATGTCAATCACTATCTACTGTCCTCGTGATTACTTTTTTTTTTCTCTTACCGCTCATTATTAATGTTTCTGTTCTTTATTAATTTTACTCTCTTACTTGTTCCTTTCCAGCCAACCTACAAAATTTTAAATGCAATGTCAATCACTAACTGTCCTCCTGATTACTCTTTTTCTTCCCGTCATTATTAATGTTTCTGTTTCTAATTCTTCCTCACCCTGTAACGCGTTGTATCTTAGGGGCTTTACTCTCCTACTTGTGGAACTCCCTTTCCGACCCCATGCTTTCCAGCCAACTTTAATCTACAAAATTTTAAATGCAATGTCAATCACTATCTACTGTCCTCCTGATTACTTTTTTCTCTTCCCGCTCATTATTAATGTTTCTGTTTCTAATTCTTCCTCACCCTGTAACGCGTTGTGTCTTAGGGGCTTTACTCTCCTACTTGTGGAACTCCCTTCCGACTCCATGCTTTCCAGACAACTTTAATCTACAAAATTTTAAATGCAATGTCAATCACTATCTACTGTCCTCCTGATTACTTTTTTCTCTTCCCGCTCATGATTAATGTTTCTGTTTCTAATTCTTCCACACCCTGTGACCCCTTGTGTCTTAGTGGCTTTACTGTCTTGCGTTGGGTGATACAGATTAAAATTATATGGCACAGAAATGTGAAGGTGTAGTGTAATAGCAAAAGAGAAACTGAAACAAAAGTATAATGAAAGAGGAAAGTTTGTTTGAAAGAAAATAACGAGTCTTGATCTGCTTTGTAATGTCAATTCTCTTATCCGACAGAGAATGCTGGAAAATGTCTTCATAGATAAAAAAAGGAGACTTGAAGTAACAGAAATAAAGAAAAGAGTGTCGAAATGCTATCTAATATCAATCTGTCTATGTCTTGTGTCTTAGTGGCTTTACTGCCTTGCATAGAGTGATACCGATTAATTTTTTTTTAAATCTCAGAAATTCAGACAAAAAAAGGGGTTAGGCAAAAAATGTTACTTAAAATAATCAAGGATGTAATTTATTCCCTGTTTTTATGTCAGTAGAGCATGCAGCTTCCACATTTCTGGCAGTGGGAATGACGTCATGGTGCTCTTTTTCTGAAAGATGGTGCCTAACTTACCCTATTATACTCTGTAATCGACAAAATCGGAAACAACGCGCATGCGCAAAATTAAATACGTAAAATGGCGACAATTTACTCATCGTACTCTGTATCTTGAGAGTTTTTTGAATGTCTTTAATCTACGTCAACTGCCGTGTCAATAAGAAAGCACATTCTGTTTTTGTGGTCTTTTATCTTGATGCCTGGACGATTAGCATTGACTTTTCTGACTGTGTAAAGTCCCATAAAATTGTTACAAGTCCTATGTTGGTATTATTATTATTGAAATTACTTCCAATAAAAAGCAGACGACATTTAAATTAAAATCATTATTTCCATTTGTGTATTTTTGCAGGAAAGAAATACGTTACAGAATACAAGATGTCATATCGAAGCAGATCTCTCCTTCATTTAAAAAACTGAAAAGATTTATCGAAGAGGTAAGTAAAAACGAAATATTCGTAATTCTAAAACTGGCCACGAACATTGACGAGTAAATTCTTTGAGACATTGTTTTAAAAAGAATTCAGATAACCTTTTTATTTTGTATGAGAATATTTTCCGTAACGCTGTGCCTTTTCTATAAATATTTTCATGGTAATAATTCAGAAGAACTTCGCTCTATGGTACCTCGATATTATGAATTGAAGCGCAGTACTAGACTGGCAACAATGTCTCATCAATTTAGGGTCGAAATGGCTATAGATATAACCGTAAGTTCTATGCTAACAGTTTCTTCTCTTCCACTTCTCACCTGTGGAACTTTCTTCCGGATCCTCGTTTTCCAGTCAAATTTAATTTTATTTACATTATTCGGACTATTGTCTTCATCTTTGTCGCCATATTTATTACAACGTTTCGGCCGTTGTACGCTCCGGCCTTCTTCAGGTGGTTGGAATGTCGAACTGAACCCTTTATTTCACTCACTGGGGTAGACTGTTCTAGTTCCACGTGCCATGTTTAATGGATGTCAATTATCAGTTATCTCCTGTTAATTCCGCTCTCTAAGTTCTCCACTGCCTTAACCGGGTATTGAACTCACACTCTTTGGGTCCTGTCACTGGATCTAACCAACGCCTTTATCCACTGTGCCATGTGTCCTTAACCGTCTATTGAACTCACACTCTTTGGGTCCTGTCACTGGATCTAACTAACGCCTTTATCCTCAAGGACACATGGCATAGTGGATAAAGACGTAAGTTAAATCCAGTGACAGGACCCAAAGAGTGTGAGTTCAATACCCGGCTAAGGCAGTGGAAAACTTTCAGAGGGAAATTAACCGGAGATAACTTTAAATAAAAACAAACCACTTTAAGGTTCCATGTAATAAGTTATTTCACCACAACCCCTTTAACGGGGCTCTGGATCATCAGACTTTACTTCCAAAGGTTGAAATGAAAAATGAAAAGAAATTCACACGTTTTTGACGGACCGCATCAAGCATATGTAAAATTAACGAAGTGAGGAAGTGAGGTGGGAGAGAAGATAAGATATGAGTGGGTTAGATGTACCATTTCAATTCCTTATTCTTAACCCCACTGTGTGTCGGCTAACGCGTATTGTCTCTAAATATAGATGGGTAAGGGGTGAGGGAGAAGACCGACATTAAAGGAAGAAGCTACAACAACCCTAATAAATTACATTCCACGAGGGCAGGTTTCATTCAAATTCTTAGACGCTGTTAATTCGCATTACTTTAAAGGGCATATTTGGGAGGTTAAGGTTTGATATAAATCTAAATGTCTAAACAATCTACGAAGAATTTAATTTGAAGTTCGTTGGAGTTTTGGGTATTTTCTATGAAATAGTCGATTGGAAAAACTCATTGAGAGTACATTGAAAAAGTAATCCATTTTATATTTAGTAATCTTTTTTATTTTTCTAAACTTGTATCTTATTGATTGTTAAGTTGACATCTATTCGTTTGATTTTTGTTCATTAATTAAATAAACTCGAGTTGATTATTCAGTTGACATCTCTTCGTTTCAGTTTTGTTCATCGATTAAACTCGTGACTTTTTTAATATACCTACATAATTATCAAAGGTTCAATTTAAATAACTTTATCGTCAATACTAATTGTTAAAGGGTAGTATATTTCAATTTCAATTAAATTACCAATTTAAACTTTACCTCCGTGTTATTTAAAATCACTTCCAATTGAAGAATATTAGAGGAGAAATTTGGATAAAATATTACTAGGAGAAAATTAGGTCCTTCTTTTACAATCTTTTATATATCCATACTCATATACACTTCTACATATGTCCGAACCCCTATCTATATCCACATACATATATCTCACTATATGAGTTATTATATACACCTGCACACACATCCACACGAAAAATTATATGTATATTCCCATCTTTACACATATACACCTGCAGAGAAACACATACCCACATATCTACATACATATCTACACATACACTTATACTTACATATATACATATATACACATAAAATCACCTGCATATCCATATCCATATACATCCATGTACATACGCACATATACATTTACACACATATATGTATACACATACACACACATATGTATACATACATACACACATACATACGCATACACACACATACATGCATATACATACATAATATGCAATATATCCACATACATACATATGCGTACATATGCACGTACACACATATACACACGTACATGTCTCTATCCTCATGTCCACTCATACACCCACTTATGCCTGCATTCGAAGACTATATCAATATTTAATTACATTATGGATACCCAAATCGTATAATTATACATATCTCCACACATATATTACCCGCTCTTTCATATCTATGGCAAAACATATAGGTACCCATCTAATTGTACACCTCCACACTCACATAAAAAAAACCTTGTATGCCTCTCTTTCCATATAAAAACATATGCATGTATATATTAAAGACGTATCAGTGTTCAAGTACAATACCATAGTTGTATACATACAGTCATGTGTTGGCGTTCATGCGTCCATAGTAATATTTCCAAAAGCAAATCGTTCAATGTTATTCTTCCTATATAGTTATTTCTCAATGTATTTACTTAGGTTTAGGTTGTTTTTGTGCCGGCATTTAAAAACTAGTTCATTGTGTCTATTTAGTAATATGTCTGGATCTTTATGTTTGATTATGAAGATTTTCTCCTTTATGCATAAGTCGCATCTGTCTCGGAAGTTTTTTTGAGTTCTGGCTCTTGATATTATTTTCCACTTTATTTGTGGGGTTAGGCCACTCTCCAACAAATCCCAATAATGTTTTGATAGTGCCGTTTGGTTCTTTTTACACTTATTTTTGAAGGACTGGCGATGGTTGTACAGTCGGTGTTTCCAATCTCCCGCCGATATTCCTATGTATATCTTTTTCTCCTCAACCTTTTCTTTGGGGAAAATTGTTGCTTCATATATTGTGTTCTCTGCCATGCATATTAACAAAATACCCGTTAAAACTTTGGAAAGATTCATCGGACACCATTAACTGGTTCCCAAAAATAAAACATAAAAATAAAACTACTTTTATACAACTTGATATTATCGATTTCTGCCCCTCAATCTCTAAAGAGTTATTAGAAAATAGCTTAAGTTTTACCAAAATCCACACTGATATTACTGACGAAGAAATAAAAATCATAATGGACTCTAGACAGTCCATACTAAAACTGAACAACACTACTTGGACTATATATATATATATATATATATATATATATATATATATGATAGAATATTATCTATTTATTCAAATATCCATATGGATATAACTTCAAAAGATAGATAGACATGAATAGTTTGTGATGGATAGAAAGGTGGATGGCTATACATAAACTGAAATAGACTGAGATAGATAGATAGATAGATAGATAGATAGATAGATAGATAGATAGATAGATAAGGAGAGAGGGAAGATTGATAGATAAGTAAGAGAGGAAGGAAGGATAGATAGATAGATAGATAGATAGATAGATAGATAGGAAGGAAGGAAGGAAGGAAGGTAGGAAGGAAGGAAGGAGAAATCATAATTTATATAACAGTTTCTTTACATTATTTACATTATTCGGACTGTTGTCCTCATCTCTGGCATGTTTGATGGATGACAGTTATCAGTTATCTTCTGCTAATTTCCCTCTGAAAGTTCTCCTTGAGGACACATTGTACAGTAGATAAAGGTGTTGGTTAGATCCAGTGACAGGACCCAAAGAGTGTGTGTTCAATACCCGGTTAAGGCAGTGGAGAACTTTCAGAGGTGAATTAACAGGAGATAACTGATAACTGACATCCATCAAATATGGCACGTGGAACTAGAACAGTCTACCCCAGTGAGCGAAACAAAGGGTTCAGTTCGAAATTCCAACCACCTGAAGAAGGCCGGAGCGTACAACGGCCGAATCGTTGTGATAAATATGGCGACAAAGATGAGAACAATAGTCCTAATAATGTAAATAATGTACATAATACCTCATCTCAGAATTATAGACATAACAATTTCTCTTCCACTTTCCACATCTTAATCTAGAATGGAATTATAAAATGAACATCTATATATCTGAGATCGAATAATTCGTAAAATTAAAACAAAATATTCGTAAATTCTATTTACCATTTTTTTATTTCCAGGAGTACATTCCAGCGACACGTCCTAAAGAAGGTCTTTATTCTCTAGAAAATGGCCTCAATTATTACGAGGCGTGTTTAAAGTGGTATCTGGGTTACCATATGACTCCAACGGAAATATACAACTTAGGTATCTCAGAGATTAGGCGAATTGAAAAACTCATGAAACAGGTAAGTGAATTCATTGTTCTATTTCCACGATAATACGGGAATTTAAATAAAAGTAGACCACTTTAAGGTACCATGTAATAAATTATTTCACAACAGCCCTTTTAAAAAGACTGTGGATCATCAGACTTTACTACCAAAAAAAAAAAAAATGAAAAGAAAATTTACACATTTTTGACGGGCCGTATTAAACATATTTAGATTAACGAAGTGAGGAAGTGGTGGGGGGAGAGAAGACATGAGTGAGTTAGCAGATATTGACACATTTAAACGGTTAACTTAAAACAAAATAACAGCGTCTGTTTCTAGCCTTTTTTTTTCAAAGAAAATTAGTGACACCTCTAATAACTTCCTTCTCTCTTTTTCTCTCTATGGGTTTTTTCTTCTCTACCCCTTCGATATAAATATATAACTTCCGTTAAGTTAACCGTTTAAATGTGTCAATATCTGCTAACTCTCCCATGTCTTCTCTCTCCCCCCTCACTTCCTCACTTCGTTAATTTACATATGTTTAATACGCCCGTCAAAAATGTGTAAATTTTCTTTTCATTTTTTGTTTGGAAATAAAGTCTGATGATCCGCAGTCCTTTAAAAGGGCTGTGGTGGTGAAATAATTTATTACATGGAACCTTAATTGGTCTGTTTTATTATATATATATATATATATATATATATATATATATATATATAATTCAATTTAAATAAAAAACAGAAAAACGTTAAGGGTTCGTTGGTTATAATTTATTTCCCCAGGTATGTAGTTTTTACCTGGTTCATCATACCACACTTTCAAGGGTGAAAAAAGGTCTTAATTTACATATAATTTTTATACATTTTTGATGGGTAGTTTTAAGCCGAGTTAAAGATCAAATGCGGATCAAATATGGATCGGAATTGAACAGGATGATAAAATAAAAGAACAAATAGGAAAAGTATAGCAATCGAACATGTTTCACTTTTATTAAAGCTTCGTCAGAGATTGAGAGAAAAGAGACAAAAAGACAGAAACTCTTGTATTTTCAATTTTATTTGGGTCAGTTCTCATTGGCCAGACACGTGTCACGTGCATTAAAATCGTATGTGTATGTAAGTTTGTGAAGATTCTTGTCTGTCTAAGTGGGCATCGGATGGTTATATGTTTTTGTAACTGTGTATGTGTGTCTATCTAGTGGAAGTTCTCAAGTTTTCATCTTTCAGCGGTCAGCGGGGTGGCACGTGGTTCTATTTTTGGCTGACCTCTTTAAACATCTATTATTTGTATTAGATTGTATTAGATAAGATGTAAGAATGGATTCAAAGAAAGATGGCGATGTAATGTAATGTTTTAGACATGTCTGTATTGTTGGTAATAATATTATTAAGTTTTCAATGTATTTTCTCCTTAAAGTCTTATGTTCCTTTTTAATTAGGGTGACAAATGTGAAATCAACTTGATATCCAGAATCATTTTGATGCAACATGAGAGAGTTTGATTGATTGTCCAAACACTAGTCTCTCCTGTGTTCATAGGTGCAGGCTTTTAGATCATATGATGTCTCCCCGACATAAACATTTTAGCATTGTAAACAATTTGTTTGATAAATCCATCCATTTGAATCGTTGTTGGGTTTATTTTTCTTCCTAATTATATCTCCGATTGTCTTGGAGGTGGTGATAACGATCTTAGTAAGAAAGATGACTAATTTGTTTGTGACTTTTGTAGAAAAAGTGTTGGAGGGCAGGAGTATAAATTTTGTGCAATTTTATTTAGAAGTGTATTAAAATCCTGGATAACTCTCTGTGTGTAGGTTTGTGAAGAATTTTGTATGATTAAGTGGACAACGAATGGCAATGTGTATTTGTAATTGTGTGCGTTTGTCTGTCTAGTAGGTTTTTTTTTATATTGCCTTCTGTGTGATCTACCCTCGCAGAGGTAAGTTGAAGGGTTCTGATTTTAATGGTCGCTACTTTAGGAATGTATTCTTTGTATTAGATAGATATAATCCAGACTCCTGAGAATCGATTCAAAGGAAGACGACGATATAATGTAATGTTTTATACGTGTTTTTATTGTTGGTAATAATGTTATTATGTTTTCAATGTATCTGTTTTTAGACAGCAAATGTTCTTTAAAGCAAATATTATTAAAAACAATAGACCTTACATAGGTACATAGGATATAACACAATCACAATCTCACCTATCTGACCATAGTGTCATCAGACAACATATTAATAAGCAACATAGGGATATTAGTAAGATTAGACAGCTTTTAAAAATAAAACAATGTATATATATATATATATATATATATAGGTATAGATATAAACACATGTTACAACTTGCTTACGTTACAACACTTTTTGTCTACGTCACTACTCTCATTAGTTCTACGAAACTCACAAATTGCTTCTAACGACCCTGATGATGACTTAGAAAGTCGAAAGCTTGACCCATTTTTCTTGTACTTTTCTTCCGAAATGAACTATGAACAATGTCTGATGGAATTTTCACCTTAACCGAGAAGGATTATTCATAATTTGGAAAGGAAGATTAATAAAATTAATAGACACAAAATATCTGCTGCTTTTAACAATATATAAGTTATAATTGTTCCAACGAGAGAAAAATGTATATTTCTTAAAAAATGTATAATTTTAAAAAAGACAGAATCCAAATTAAAGGAATCAATTTTTAAAGGAAGATATTTCCTTATGTTCTTTTAACGTTTCATTGTTCATTTTCTGTATTTTTAGTAAGCCTTGTTATTCATGATGACGGTCGTCTTCGAGTATAGAATCCAGATGTTAGCAGTGAATATTTCGAAGACAGTAGGGAAGCGTAGTTCAGGTATGCAGTGGTTATCTCGGTAAAGGTAGCAGAGCGTTGTTCTTCCTTCTGTTCCTCTTCGCCTGACAATTTGGCACTGGGCATTCAGAGAGAGTAAACAAAATGGCCGCCTTTATACACGACGGATTGAATATTCTACGTCTTCTGATTGGTTAACCTTCTATTGGTGGACTATAAAATGAGGCAAGTCATTTGGGTTGGCTCACTAGTACACACGTATACACAAAAAACTGCAACAAGCCTTGATCTCATTTTTTGTACTGTTGGCAAAAGTAAATTCCTGTCTAAGTGGTAATAAAATCATTAAGTTTGGTCTTAGTGGTGGCGATGACAGATGTGTCGATGATAGATGCCCCCTATACCCACATCATCGGTATATGAAAAAAAATTAAACTTCTCCGTGAAGTAGCGGTATGTATATATATATATATAACGTCATCCACAGACAGACTGTTTCGCAGCTCATCAGTGTGGCTAGATATCCGGTTGCCTCTAGCCAGGATCGAAACCCGACTGAAGGGATGAAAGTGAATTTTTTAGCGTATTTATTTTTACAAACACGCCCAGTGGCCGACAGTGACTCAATTCGCATCTGCGAAGAGTCTCGCTATATGCAATGTCAATCATTATCTTTATCACCATGCTTAGGTTGAAATGATTATATATATATATATATATATATATATATATATATATATATATAATCATTTCAACAAAGACACTAAGACGCAAGGAATTACTGAGAAGCCACATGATTAGGGATAGGGGCCAATAAAAAGAACAGAGGTTAAGGAGACGGAAGATAATGATTGACATTGCATTTAAATTTTTGCAGATCAAAGTTGACTGGAACGCAAGAAGCCGAACAAGAGTTCTATAAGCGATAAGTGTGATAGAAGGAACTGTTAGTATAGAACTTACGGTTGCATCTTAAAATTCCGACTATAAAAGGATGAGACCTCGCTGCTAATCTAGTGCTGCGCTTAAAAGTCTAAAAAGTTAGTTTTATAGGCCCGACAAAGTAAAGCCTCTCTAAAATGACCTTCAATCAGTTGTTACCTGGGGCAAGAAATTTCAGTGCCTCTAAAATGAAACTGCTATCTTTTAATCATCATAGAGAACCATTTTTACCTTCCATCAGTATGGCTGATGCTAATGTCCAGGAGAGCGTCCCATTACGTCTTCTTGGTCTTACATGAAGAGGAGTGATTACATTGAATCAATCATAAAGATGTTCTCTTTTACAATTACACTGATTATTCTAAGAATGAAAGAGCCCATTTCACAATGCCTCGTACTCCAAAGATGAAGGAATTGTCGAATTTCTTCCAGAAAAAATAGTGACGGAAAATGTTCATTATTATATTAGCACCTGTGCGACAAAAGAAATCAGATAAAGAAAAGCAATTAGAACGGCAACTAAGTTTCATAGTAAACTGATAGTTGCTACTTAATTACTTAATTACTCTAACCCTTAACCCTAACCTTCACCCTAACCCTACAAGGACGATAACTCAAGATGCAATTGAGTTACGTCCCTTGTCCGCTCGTTATACCGCGACTCTTCTAAATTCAATATGGTGATAAGCTGACACGCCTGTGGGACTCATGGTTTAAATCCAAACAATCCTTGCTGTTCTCAAGCAGTCAATGAATAAAACTTATTTTATTATGTGCTAAAATACACGTATTTTTATTTTCATTCGTTTTTGTTCATTCCAACAAACTGGGATATAACATAAAAAAGGTTTTATTTTAAGTTGAAAGATATAAAAAGGAAAAAACATAAAGCCTTTTCGTCCAGAATTTAAAATATACTTCAAAGTAACCTCAGTTGGGAGTTGGCGGGTTTTTACGGTATATATAGATGACTTGTCCTGAAAAACATTCAGAAAATGGTAGTAAACGAACCAGCTCTGAGAGAGATTTTTACAACAACTGACTTGACCAGCTAACTCGCTTAATTTTGGCGCCAACCAACGAATAGGAATACCCGGATAAAGACCTTCTCTCTCTGTAAGGTCATTCGACCACATCAAAGAGTTATTTGTAGTCTTTGATCTAAATGACCCAGAACACGGAGAAGTTTTTTTTTTTTTTTCACACCTGATGATGGCTGCGGAACGGATCGATCGAAATGTTGTGTTAAGATGAAAAAGAATAGAAAGGTCCAGTTGTCCGAAAGATTAATATGAGAATCAATATTTTATTTTAAGTTATTGCACTTGATTCCATAATAATGTTGGATGATTTTTCAGGTTATGTTAAAAGTGAATTTCCATGGAACACCGAAGCAGTTTTTCCGCCATTTGAAGAATATGCCAGGCTTTTACAATAGCACAGTGGTAAGTTGAAAATTGATTGTCTAATTAAAGAAAAGATCCATAAAATAACAGTAAGAACATATGAGAGAATCAGAATGTTTCCGGATGTTTAACAGTGATGGTGAGATTAATCGTCTCCAGGCAGAAAACACTGACCGGCTTCCCTCTGTCTTTTCTACTTATATTTTCATGGCTACTGCTATGACGAATTTTTTCCCTGGTGCCCCGACTAAATGAATTTAAGCGTGCTACTAGTTTGGCATCTAAGTCCCATCCTTTTACTGTTGAAATAGTTAAATGTAACCGCCACTTCTACTCAGGTTCTTTCCTCGCACTTCCCGACATTGAAACTCCCTTCCGTTTACCTGCTTCCCTGCAATCTTGAAAACTTTAAGTGCAACGTCAATCGACATCTTCTGTTGCCTTGATCCCTTTCTTTTTTCCTTTCCACAATTGCCCCCTACACCCACTCTTTTCTCTCATTTTCACTCTCCGTAAACCCCTGCATGCCAGTTGCACACCCGCCTTGCTTGGGGTGAAATGTTTAAAATAAAAAATTAAAAAAAATAACCTCAGAAAAACAAAACGTTTAGTGTTTTAAAATTAGAAAATCCTTCTCTTGACACAGTTTTTCAAGAAAATAAGATTATCATTTTTTTTTCAATTATTTTATTCCAAGCAAGGCAATAAAGCCACTAAGACACAAGAGTGAGAGTGTGAAAGTATACGAGAAAAGGACTTATGACACGCATCGATTCATAAAATCAAGTAAAATACATAAAATATTCAATACTCCAAAAATTGCACACACACACGCACATACTCACACACACACTCAAACACACACACACACGCACGCGCACACGCACACGCACATACTCACACACACACACACTCAAACACATACACACGCACAAACACGCACGCGTACACGCAAACATAGATACTCACACACACACTCAAACACATACACACACGCACAAACACGCACGCACACACGCACAAACACACCCACACACATACTCAAACACACACACACACAGAGACGCGCGCAAAAACTCACACGCACATACTCACACACACATTCAAACACACACACAGACGCGTGCAACATACTCCCACACTCACTCAAACACACACACAGACGCGCGCACACACGCACGCATACACATTCCAACACACACAGACGCGCGCAACATACTCCCACACTCACTCAAACACACACACGCACACACACAGACGCGCGCCCATACACACACACACACACACACTTATTAAATTCAAGTAACAATGTATTTCTATTTAATTATTTATATTTTTCCAGTTTTCAAAAGAGTTCTTGAATGTCCGGGTAAAAAGTCCAGATAAACTCTTCAAATATTTATCTATATTTCTGAGATGGGGTATTGTAAGTAATTACACTATTTACATTGTACGGACTGTTGTCCTCCTCTTTATTGTCATATTCACAAGGTTTCGACCATTGTATTCTCCGACCTTCTTCAAGTGATATACATAATCCAGTGATTTGACCCAAAGAGCTGGTCATAGTTGAACAAAAACTTTGGAGAGTTGAGTTACTAAACGGAATTAACTGAAACTGAGATATCACGAAAAGGCATGGCACGTGGAACTGGAACAGTCTACCTCGATGGACGAAATAAAAGGTTCGGTTCGAAATTCCAACTTTTATCACCTGTAGAAGGCCGGAGCTTACAACGGCTGAAACGCCGTGAATATGACAATACAATGAAGATGAGGACAACAGTCTGAACCATGTAAATAGTGTAAATTGTTCAAATATGTTTTTGTTTCCTTTTTTTTTTTTTTTTTCTTGCTCGAGAATTTTCAAATATCTCGGTCATTATCAAGAACTAGATGTTGCCAGCATTGTAGACAAAAGTTTATTAGCTATATCCTGGCAACGTTTTTTTTTTTTTTTTGCTAAGTAGAATGCCAAGATGAGGCTAACAATACTGACATCGTTTAGTTCTTGTTAATAACCAAGATGGCCGAAAATACTTGCGAGGATAATTTTTTTTTTTTAGAATTCTATACGAAAATATGTTTGATTTTTATTTCTAGTCTGAATTCCTTGATGGTTATCATGACATAATAAAGCGGCGAGTGAATCCTGTACTTTTTAAGATCTTTAAGGAAATTCCCTTAAAAGAAGTCAGGTATGTATTTTTCAAGTCTTATTGTCTGTACCTCATCAAGGTTGACTACGGATTACGGCCATATCAGTTTGATACACCGACTCTCATCCGATCAACGATGTTAGACCGAGGGAGTACCCAGATACGTGGCCGTTTTTAAAGCTTAGTGTGATGGATAACGGCCCGGAATCAGAAATTAGAGAACCGAGTTCAAATTACAGTCAGGTTCCTTATATTTATTTACCTGCACCTTGACATACGTTATGAATCCACCTCTTCTCTCCCCATCTATGGGTTAAATAGTAAGACTCGTAATTATTATTATCGATAGAAATTTGGGGAGAATTTGAATAATCATTTATAGTAATTCATCGAGTCTAGAAAAATCCTCAACAGAAAGCACTGTACGACCGTTTCGTCCTATTTTGGGACTCATCAATGGTGCGCATCCACTACCGAGAATCGAACCCGGACCGCAAGCGTCATACCGCTGAACCAACGGGCCTCGTTGAGGAAAAAGAAACTGACTAGACTCGATATAGCACCGTTTCTCACTAGATTCCGGTGGTGATACTCATCCAAGTATACGTAACTCAACGGATTGTGCCCCAAGAGCCACGTCTTATTTCCCCAAGCCGCTCCTTCCAGAGGATTAGAAGCTGGATCAAGCAAGGACATACAAGTGACAGAAATTTTTTGAACGGGGGGGGGATGAAAAAATTATTATTATTTTGAAAAACTTCTTACACTCCAAAAATATGTTTCAACTTTGAATAATCTTATAAGTTTGATAAGCCGTAAAAAAACCCAAATCAGTCAATAAATCAAAGTTGACTACATGGATAACAGATATCGATGATTTTACCTCATTGCGCGTCCCATCAGTGTCTTTTCGATCAGCTTTATTCTTTTGGCAAGATATTTCAAAAGGAAGTAAGACACAGAATGAAATGGAGTAATGCCTTTTCCAAGGGCATTAGTGTAAAGTCAATATAAATAACGTGATTTGAAATTTTATTTTTCTTACGGATAAAAGTACTTTTTTTTATTTTCTCCAACAAAAATTAAAGACGTATAAACCCAGTGGAGCTATATCTCCAGGCAGTACAAGAAAAAAAAAAGTATAAATGTAATCGTCTAATTTGAGAAAGACGTGGCACTTGTCTTTGCTTGATCTGAAGTGCCCAATTAGGATAACAGGAACAAGTACTCTGTATCCGGTTAGAAATCCACAAATGAATGAACAGAAAAATGAAATATTCTTGGTAGCGGGAAATTAACGGAAAAGCATCTGGACTCTGTAGCCTTGGTTGGCAGCCAGTCTGATAGAAATACTAATCTGAATTCAACCACCAAGAAAGAAACAGTACACAACTCCACTATCTTTTGTCAAGATGTAGTGGCAATTCACAGTTTACAGTGCTCAGAGTAGTCGTCAGCACCTGTTCGCATCCGATCATTGGGATCGTCATCCTCTCTCCTTAGTTCCTTTCTCCGCTCTGGTAGTGGTGGCGGCGATGGCGGTGAAGGCCCTGTCTACTTCTGGAGAGTTGTGAGCAGGAGTTACAGAGGATTATGGGTGGTGGACGTGGTTGGGCAAGTCGGGTCCTCCCGACAGCACTTCGCAGATACTCTGCATGTTGACGGTGGAACTCAAAAATCTCGGTCTTCCCTCGGTCCTACTCTAGGAAGATCGATTTGCAGTGACGGTTTCCAAATTTTTAGGGTCGATGTTCGCCTGTGTCAGGGTTTTCCTCAACTGATTTTCCTTGTAGCGTCATTTTGGGTCTCTGCGTAGCCTCTTGCCGCTGGCGTGTTCTCCAAACAGGTTGGTATTTGGGAAATACTTGATATTACTAACAAGTTATTAAAATGTTTTCTGTAATTGTTATGTAGTAGTAATAAAGGTCTCTGTGTGCCCGCACCTAGTTGCAGACCACAGTTGCATAGCTGTCAGGCCTATTATAGGCATTGCCTTGGATTCAACGAAAAAACAATACATTTTGAGTGACGGAAAAGTACCATAATATCCCTTCTGTTTAATTTATACATCTAACTGTTAACATCTTATTACAGTGTTGTAGGAGTTTCAAACGATGCACCGTGGGGATCGTACGGCAAAAATAAATTCCTTGTCAACATCAAATGGCCGGAAGAAAGGTGAGAGATTTCCCATCATGCTCTTCGATAAACTTGTCTTTTGAATATGTATTGTCTCCTTATATTTTTTAATTTTAAATTTACTTTTTATTCTCTGGATATTTAAAAGAAAAAAAAACTATACGCTGATGATTCAAAATACACTGGCGTGCAAAAGTTTTGGATCAACTACATAAAACTATTATAAACCTTTTAGTTTTTTTTTTAAGAACTAGTTTAAAAGGCGCACTCAGTGCAGACTTTTCAGTTAGTCCTTGCGGGGGGCGAATTGGGCCTCCAGCCCAAAACTAAAGGTACCTATGATCCAGCTTAGAAAACAGCAATGATAATTTTGAGGAAATATCTTTGGAACTTCAAAACCTCACTTTAACTCTGATTCGAGCTATAAGTCAAATTCCGGTTAGAGGACCGATTTGGGCCGAAATTCCAATTCAGGCCCGTCCTGGGTAAGACGATAAACTATGTCCAACAGCAATGCCTCTGATGAGGTTTTGAGGAGCGTGGTCCTACCTATAGGCGAATAGTTAATACCCAAACTGCGGTCAAAACAATATGAAAGTGTAAAAATAGGTTTTATTACCAGAAATACTAAAAAAAATTATTACCAGCAAGACATTTTTGAAAAAAAAATATTGCCAGTAATACATTTAAAAAAATATATTACCAGTTATACATTTTGAAAGACAAACGGAAAATTATTACCAGAAATATATTTCTGAATTAAAAAATATTACCAGAAATAGATTTTTTGGAAAAAATATTACCAAGAATGAAAATTTTGTCGGCATTAAATAACCCACTGAGGTTGATATGCCGTAAAACAAAACAAACCAGCCAAACCAATTCATGCTAAAAATTGAGTTCTTCAAATCACAAACTCCGTGGAACTTCAGTTGAATTCTTCAAATCTCAACCACTGTGGAAATTCAAAACCTCACATCACGAAGTACGTTAACTCGGATTCCTTGGCATACTGAAGAAATAAGATCGATTTCTTATATTCATAAAGTTTTGATGATATTTTAAACTGAATTTAAAGCAAAATTTTAAACTGGCAAACATTTTTGTCTTACTTTAGACTCAATATAAATAGAAAAAAAATTTAGATCACTGATTTTTTTCAGTTATTTTACAATTTGAATTTTAAACTGTTCCCTCCACACGAGACACAAATTCCAATGTTGTATGTTCAAGCACCAAATGAAAGGCAGATTTTCAATCCCGGGATCATCTTTATTCCAAAAAAGTATATGTCTATGTAGATCAAGTGTGGTCCGAGTTAGGAGGGGGAGTTAGACGCACGAACGGTAAACAGAATTTGCCGTTTATTTTTTTAAATTTTAGATTATTTAGCAGTATATGTCTCTTGACCTTGAGGAATAAAAATTATTACGTTTTCGTAGATACCGTGTAACAGAAGATATACCGATTTAAGCTGCGTGAAGGCCATACAAATCTATCGGGCAAATAACAGATTTGAGATGATAAAGTGATGATAATATGCAAATCCATAAGTAAGAATTGTTCCATCTTATTAACATGCGTGTAAGGTGCCTTGACAAATCATTATAGTTGAAAAATTTTCTTCTGTGTGCCACATCCCCTTCAGGACAAAGGCGACCATGGCTCTCCACAATTTCAAATCTGCTGTGGCTTTTAGTTAAACATTAGCTTGCTTTTTTGTTACACTAAAATCATTACTAAAATATCTGCTGAAAGATGAAGGTTGTGACTTTGAAGGGGAAGATGACTCATGAACGAGAGGTAGCCAGGCGTTTGAGAATTTCCAGGAACAGAGTTCAAATCAACTAAAAGACGTTTGCTACGACTGGAAGTGTTTTAAAAAAAATAAAACCGGGGGGGGGGCACAATGTTTAGACAAGAGAGAAGAAAGAAAGATTGTGATTTTCTCAGTAGGCAATCCAAAATTAACAGCCAAATAAATGAGGAGGGTGTACAGTATTAACAATGAGGTTTCATTTTGTACAGTACGCAGAGTATTACGAAAACAACAACTTCAACGGGTCTATGCAACAATATAAAAACATCATTGGTCAAAAAACATCTAATTGTTGGCACAAAGTATTTTTTTAGTAATGAATATAAAATTAGATTTTAATGCAAGAGAATATGAAAGAAATCTTGTAGGAAAATAAACAATGGAAGAAAAAACAAAAAATACGGTGAAATTTGGTGATGGACACGTAAAGGCGTCTGGTTGCGTCAAAAGCGATGGCAGCAGAAAATTGGTAAAAGCTGACGAAAACCTAAACAGCGAAAACTATATTAATTTACTACGGTTTCATTTACTGCCAGATTACGAAATAAAGACATTTTTAGCATGCTGAAGCTCTTTGCTACACATCATACGCATCATAGGATTTATTGCTGGTGAAGATATTTAACTTTTCGAAGACAACCCACCACAAAGTCCTGATCTCAATATGATTGAATCATTGTGTTGGGAAATGAAGAAAAAAGTGTTCCAACGAAAACTATGCAATCAAGAAAAATGTGAAAAAACTATGTTGCCAAGAAAAATGTGAAAAACATTCCGAAAGAAAATATGATCCTTATTCTATTGAGGCAATTATTCAAGCCAAAGGCCATACTTCGACGTTCTGTATTTATCTAATAATAAAGATCACATTTTAGAAATAAATATTTCTTTAAAACCTAAGAAAAGTGCTGAAAGGTGAAATTTTGATGGCCAAGTATTTTTGCATGACCTTTTTTTCAGCACCCCTATGCTTAAGGTACTACGACTGGAAGTGTCTTCAGTTCAAATAAAACCAGGAGACCACCAAAGTTAGACAAGAGAGAAGAAAGAAACATACTGCATTAACGAAAAGGCAGTAACTTGTTTTCTTGTCCTCAAAGATCATAAAATGTACTGAGAAAAGCATACTGGTAATTACACTCGATTTGGGTGTAAAATTAACAAAAGTAATTGACTTAGGTTGCCAAAAGATTTTGCACGCTAGTGTAGAATAACCATTTGAGATGGACAATTATGACAGGTACTGTCTAGTAACAATATATATATATATATATATGTGTGTGTGTGTGTGTGTGTGTGTGTGTGTGTGTATTGATATAAAGTGCAAATTTACAACATACCTTAAGAAAGATTCTGGTTAATAACGCTAGCATTTTATATAGGTCGTATTACTGAAAACATCTCGCTGTGCGAGAGGCCAATTGCATAAAACATCTAATACCCAGTATAACTCACCTTTTTCAACAATATAAATGGTTTGTCAAAGTTGTCTTTTTTAAATAGATAGACACCAACTCGAACTCCAGATCTGAATAAACATTACTATTAGTATTCAAACAGCACAAAAAATACATTTAAATAGTCAAACATGAAAATAAATTAACAACACCTAAAACAAACCTCTTGAAAATGGCTAAAGCGACCGCAAGCGCTTGAGACAATAGACAATAAGGACATTTTTTGTAAAATGTAAGAATGTTAGAAAAACTAAATAAAAAATTAATCAAATTTTCCATCCCAGTCATAATCAACGTTATATATATATATATATATATATATATATATATATATATATATATATATATTATAATAAAAAGAAAGAACAGTAAGATATATAATCCGGTGTTCTTATTGATTTTTTTTATTTTTACAAAACAGTGCTCAATTTAAATTTACAGAGCATAAATATAAGGAAGTAACTGATTTAAAATATGGTTTCTTCGCTACACAAGAATTACCATGTTTCAAAAACCGAAGCTAAAAATTTCAAATTTAATTACATAATTAAATTAAAAGTATTACTTTTGTTTCATCTTCAAGCGAATTTTGGAATAACTTATTTTTCAATTTACTGATTTTTAAACGCACATACAATTCATAATTTTTTTTTTCCAAGGATACAGAGAAATCCAGTCATTTAGACAGGGGCGGTAGCATGTTCATTTTTATTAACTATTATTGTATCAATTATGAGCTACGTTCGAAATAGAGGTTAAGTTTAGGTAGGGTGGAGGTACATTGTTCAACGAATTTTGACATTCGTTCAACGCATGTCGTCTGGGTTTTTTTTGTCAACGAGAAAAAGGTTTTCGGCATTTTTATATATATATATATATATATATATATATATATATATATATATATATGACCTGCATCCTATACGGAAGCGTCATTTACGCTGACGTGACAGAGCATTTACTTAAATACTTGTATCTATAAAAAAAAACAAAAAAAACGAACGTTAAACATAAAAATGTCTTTAATAAATAAATTGTCGGACTTTGTCCATTTCTTAATATATGACGTCATTTGTTTAGGTTCGTATCCTGTCAAAGGACGAATATTTTCTATGAAAATTTCTCGGACATTCAGGCCGGTAAATGTTATTTAATACTGTTTATTATAAACAGAGCATTTACTTAAATACTTGTATCTAAAAAAAAAAAAAAAAAGAACGTTAAACATAAAAATGTCTTTAATAAATAAATTGTCGGACTTTGTCCATTTCTTAATATATGACGTCATTTGTTTACATTTGATACGCCAGAGCAGTTATATATGTACGAGATTCATGGAGGATTGAAGTTTATAAGCAGTAAATTCGACCTTGCCTACCGAACGCTCCTTTGTGGCCGAGTGGTTAGGCAGTCATATATATATATATATATATATATATATATATATATATATATATGTGTGTGTGTGTGTATGTATGTATTTCGGCATTTATATATATATATATATATATATATATATATATATAAGTTTTTCGGAATTTTTTATATATATATATATATATATATACTAGACAATAGATATAAAAAGTTTTTCGAATTTTATGCACACACACACACACACACACACACACATATATATATATATATATATATATATATATATATATATACCAGGTGTAACAGAAAAATTGTCCAATTATTAGATTAAGCTTTGAACGGTTGTATATTAGAAATGATTGAAAAAATCTTACTGGAATTCTCTGAGGTTTTTATAACACTATTGGACTCTACTTTGAATGAGAATGTATTTAGTTCTAAGCTGAAATGTTGATCCCTCTTCTTGTGACCTCCTGATACAGTTTTCCTCTCTACTGTTCCTTCTAACGCAATAAATGGTGTCAAGATGGCTAAACGCCTTATCTGAAAACCTGGAAAAAATGTTTAATACCTTAAAAAAAAAATACTAAAATAATTTAGTATTTTTTTAAGGTATTAAACATTTTGTAGGATGAACAATTATCGCATGCTGTTAAACTATTTGGACAATTTTACTGCTACACCTGTTATATGTATGTATTTTATAACTTTAAATGGATAATTACTTTTAGTGGATACTTATATTTGAGTAGACGTTCCGTTTATTTATTAAACAGTGAGAATGCAGGTTCGAATCCTACCGGGGGCGTAAATTTTTTCTTTAATAAGATTTCTCGAATATTCAGGCCGGTGGACGAAAATTTTTTATAGTTTTCGCCCCATCTGGCTTCCAGGCCACATCCCTAGCTTACCCCTCGTAAACTCATTTGAATGAACGTATTACAGATTAATTTGAATTTAAAACCCGTCCACCCTCTCTCTCATTACCTCTCTCAATTTTTCTTATTTTTAAACAGGTCCACTTTCACTATGCTGCCTTTAACTCTACACGAAGCTAACCCCGGACATCATTTCCAGGTAGGTTTTCAATGTTTTAAAACGACGTCAGTTATTCAAATAATTCAGTACCCGTTGCATCGCTGATCGATGATCAAATTTTAAATATAAATTGTCTTACCACTTAAAATGCTACATTTATCAGAAACTATATTCAAGGAAGAGTCATAAAAACGCCTTCAAAGTGTGGGGTTTTCTTGCCTGGCATTTTTGTTGGGATAAGTATAAAAATGTTAGCTTTAATCCCTGGGGTGAGGACATCTCCTTCAGAAAAGGCATTGAGTGTATTCCCCGGTGCCTGCGGTGTCCGCAAAAGGTGAACTGCCGAGTGGGGTTAAGCAATTTTTTCCACTGTATTGCTGATAAAACCCACTTTAAACTGACGCTGGGACACATCCCGTAGCGCACTGGAAAAAAATACACTATAAGATTTTCTTAATAGCTTTTCTACAAATAATAACTGTTGTGGAGTGATTTCACAGTGGAGGCTTGTATTTGTACTAAGTCGGTCCTAAAATAGGCTTGACGTACAAAACGTTAGGAACTTGATAATGACGGAGAGAAATCTAGTTGTGGTCGCTGATACTTTAGTAACCGTCTAATGGTCGTGCGGCATCGACTGACCGACCCACTAACCAACGGTATTTAGTCACCCCCCCAAGAGGGCATCATGTGGCACAAGGTCGGTTTAACGTAGGATCCCAAGATGAAACTTCCCTGATCACTACAACCATAACCTGTTCAAGTCTAGGGTAAACCATTAACTTCCTCACATATCCTCATAAATTGTGTGAATGCCTAAGAATCTTGGTAAAGATCATCGGCCAAAAATATGCCCTTTGAACCCGTATAAACGGGTTCTGGGTCGGTTTACCTCCCCGAAAGAGACTCCGCCCTTCGGCGTAGCCTCGTTCGGGTTCCTCCCCGCCCGAAGGCGGAGAGTTCAACCGCTCAGCCGGTCGTCCGACTTCAGACTGAACTCAGACCGACTCATTTAGCGACAGTATTTAGTCACCCCCCCACACACACGAGGGTATCATGTGGCACAAGGCCGGTTTAACGTGGGATCTCCGAACCCGTGGGATCTCCGAGCCCGTGGGCTCGGCCAAAAATATGCCCTTTGAACCCGTATAAACGGGTTCAAGGTCGGTTTACCTCCCCGAAAGAGATTCCGCCCTTCGGCGTAGCCTCGTTCGGGTTCCCTCCCGCCCGAAGGCAGAGAGTTCAACCGATCAGCCGGTCGTCCGACTTCAGACTGAACTCAGATCGACCCACTGAGCGACTGACTCGTTACTCTTACTACTCCTACTTATTATAGGTGAGAGAGTCTATTAACTATAGAATAGGTGTGTTCCACTCTAACAATCACCTTCCTTCCACGAAGATTCCACTTGTGAGATCTAAGATCCACTGGAACAGCGTCTCCTGGAACCGACTCCCAAGAGGATGCTCGCCTGTTCACTACAATCTTAAGCCGTTCATGTCTAGTATTAATCGTTACTTTCCTTAATCCCCATAAACTGTACTGCTTACATCTTACTCTGTAACCCTCTACCTCGTGTGGCTCTTGGGACTTATACAGAATGAAAAATATATTTTCATAGCTCTGTATATTATATCATTCTCATTGTATTCCATTGTTGATATGTATGGTTCTTTCATCTTTCCACAAACTGGTACCTTGTGAAACTCTCTCCCAAGATGATACCTCCCTGATCACTACAACCTTAACCTGTTCAAGTCTAGGGTAAACCATTAACTTCCTCATAAATTGTGTGAATGCCTGAGAATCTTGGTAAAGATCATCGTTCTTTGAACATTGGGAACTGGCGTTACAGAATCACAAAGAACTGTACCAAATGACAGTAATCATATCACTTAAGGACTACCAACAGCAGTAACAACTAAAATGGATAGCAAGTAAAATTGAAGAGAAAATAATGACATAATCAAGATGTTGACATTCCTCACCACTTCAAACAAAAGGTTAGGAAGGAAACCTTCATCAATACTGGAAAGAGCTACTGGACTTGTGAAACCTGTTTACCTGAAAAATTGTTTTAAGTGTAAGATTCTATAAATTTCAATGAAAACAGTACTGGCTCCTCGAACAATGTTTGTGAAATGTTTCCTTATAAGGAAACAGCTAAGAATGATTCTTATGCCTCAATATATATATATATATATATATATATATATATATATATATATATATATATATATATAGTTTATGAAAAACTAGGTAATCCATATGGGTAAACCTAAGGAGGATAAAATCCAGAGAGCTCAATGTAAATTCAGAGCAAACAATTTAAATCAAAACAGACCACTTTAAGGTCCCATGTAATAAATTATTTCACCACAGCCCTTTTAAAGGACTGCGGATCATCAGACTTTACTTCAAACAAAAAATGAAAAAAAATTTACACATTTTTGACGGGCCGTATTAAACATATGTAAATTAACGAAGTGAGGAAGTGAGGGGGAGAGAGAAGTCATGAGTGAGTTAGCAGATATGGACACATTTAAACGGTTAACTTAACGGAAGTTATATATTGATATTGAAGGGTAGAGAGAAAAAAAAAACCATAGAGAGTAAAAAAAGGAGGGAAGTTAAGAGTTAAGAGAAGATGTCACTTATTTTCATTGTAAAAAAGGCTAGAAACAGACGCTGTTATTTTGTTTTTTACTTTGAAAGTGTTATTTTGGGGGTTCATAAAGATTATAATGTTTGATATAAATTTGAACGTCTGTTTCTATCCTACTTAAATTTTATTTAAGTTAATATGGGAGTAATATTTGAATTTAATATTAAAGATCTTGCTCTGTCATATTTTGATTATACATATTCATAGAAAGTACAAAATTTCATTTTATACACACGTTCATTTACATGTTCAGTAAACTCATACATTTACCCATGTATATAAATATATATATATATTTATGTATTAACATCTACCTAAATATCAGAAATTTTTCCAATTTAAATATTTTATCATCAATAATAATTATTAAAAGGGTAATATATTTCAATTTAAATTAAATTATCAATTTAATAAATTTTCCTCCATGTTATAAAAATTTAAACTCACACTTCCAATTGGAAAATATTAAATGAGAAAATGAGATAAAACACTAATAACAGGACTGTAAGTCCTTCTTTTAATATATTCTATGTATCCATAAATATACATATACACATACCCGTATACATACACACATACATATACATACATATCCATATATATATATATATATATATATATATATATATATATATATATATATATATATTACACATATACACATATATATATATATATATATATATATATATATACTCATACCGGAGACACATACACATGTAGATATATACACACACATACATACATACACATTTACATATACACACATATACCTACATATATACACATATATATATATATATATATATATACACATACATATACACATATACACACACACATATACACATATACACAAATATGCATATACATATATACACCCACATGTGGATCTGCATATGCAAAACATATAAAAATTCTCGTATTAATTACCTTATTGTATCTATATTCTACCATATTTATATATGAACTCACAACTACTTATATTTATACATACATACAAACATACACTATCTATAAGAAGAGATACATGTGCCCAATTATTATAAACACTGATCAAACGACCTCATACAATATTATATAGTCGAAATTTAAAAAATTGTATACATACACGGGCACAGATATACATGTTCCACACATATATATATATATATATATATATATATATATATATGGAAAATATATATATGTATATATATATATATATATATATATATATATATATATATATATTAACCACTTCAGATAATTTGTGTGTGATGATCAGTACAATAAATTTAATATAAGAGATAAAAAGAAATTAAACATACAACAGGACCTATCTTGGTTTTTTGCACAATGCCGCATGTTGCTACAAACCAAAAAACACTCATCTTATAACTCGAGTCATGGCTCCGTCAAATCCATATGGATGTCTTTGTCCGCGCTAAAACCCGTTCAGAAATATCTAAACTGTCAGCCAGTTACAAACTTCTTTCTCGGATCAAAGATTAAAAATTGTTTTTATAGCATGTGACTTTAACCTGTGGTACTTAGCAAAAAAATCATCCTTCTTGAGTATTGTAGACTGGTAAAGAATCACAAATATAAAGAACTGTACTAGGAAACCAGTTTTTACAGGGACTACTCAACAGCAGCAATTTATTTTTGGATAGCACATGTAACTGGAAGAACACGAATGACATAATCAAGATGTTGATATTCCACACCACTTCAAACAAAAGGTTGGGAAGGAAAGCTCATCAATAATGGAAGAACGATAACAGTTACTGAACTGTTTTTTTTTTTCTGAAAATTGTTTTAAGAGTGTTTTAGAGTGGTTTCGCAGTAGAGGCTTGTATTTGTACTAAGTCGGTCCTAAAATAGGTTCGACGTACAAAACATTAGGAACTTGATATAATAGGTAATGACGCAGTAATCTAGTTGAGGTGACTGATACTTTAATATCCGATTAACGGTCGTCCGACATCGACTGACTCAGCGACTCACTGAGCGACTTAGCGACTATTACTCTCTCCAGCTATGGATTACTTATTATGGGATCCAGCTCTATTATTAATCTAAAAATATTTTGTTCCACTAAACAAATCTTAAATGATTGTTTTAAATTTCCACCTAATGTTTTACTTGCTGCTTTGAAAACGAGTCAAAAGTTTCCTTGTAAGCGAATAGGTGTGGATTGCCATTGCATCTTGTTTTCGATGAAATGATTTTTTTCCCTCTTGTGACTCTTTGGACTTTTACAGGGTGAAATATATTGTACAAAATAATTATGGATTTCTCCTTTTAAATCGAACTTTGTCAAAATAAATATAATAGAAACATTAATGGTAGTTTTTGTAGCGACGATGGTGTTCATTGAAAATAATTTAAAAAATAAAAACAGTTTAATAATACCGTGTTTGAACCAATACTTTTGAATGTTTGTTTGAAGTCCACCTGTTTCCACTTTATCGAACGCCGTTAAGGGACCTCGACACTGGCCAGTATTTAGACACAGTGAACCACTTTGATGAATAAAAGTATACAGATACGGGTCTTTTAGTTTTTTGGGTGGGGTGTAATGATTAATTGTTAATCACAAAGTGGTTCCAATTCATGTTCGTTATATTCACTATGTGACAAAGTACTAGGTAAAATCTAAGTGTTTAAAAAAGGTATCTAAGTAACAAAACCTGACTCACGAACCTGAAGTAACTACGTGTTCAAGTACTAAGTGTCTCGGTGTTTGCAAATGATTAGTAAAAATGTGTCTGAATGTTTGTTTTGTGACGTAGTTTGGACAGGGCACTAAGTGTCGGAAACGGGGTTAAAATGTTCACTAAGAAATGTATGTGTATAAACACTAGCAAGTTTTAAGGAAAACTCAATGCCTAAGTTACTGTTTGTCCTAAGTGTTTAAGTACGAAGTGACAAGTACTAACGAGGCAGAAATTCTTTAACTTTTATGAAAATAAAGTTAGATTATAAATTGTTACCGAAAGACGATGACATCTCGATAAACATTAGCCTACCAGATACATCATCTTTGCATATCAAGATCTATTCACTTATGAAGTTAGGCTAAGCAATACTGGTAATCTATGGCACCTGGGTAAACAGCAATGGTAATATTAGCCGTTTCTTTATAAGATAACATTTGAAACTTATTGACTGAACAGCTAGTGTCACTGTCGATTGAAATATATAAAATCTTTCTCTTAAAACAATTTATCAGTAAAATAGGTTTCACAAGATCAGTAGCTGTCATCGCCCTTTCCTGTATTGACGGGGTTTTATTCATAAACTTTTATTTGAGGCAGCGCGAAACGTCAATATCTTGATTATGTCATTAGTTTGAAAAATTTTAGGTCAGGTAGAACAAAAGACACTCTCTGTGTTACTGGCCCTAAGAACCTGCTGATAATTTTTTTTTAATGGACTGTGATTGGAAGGTTCAAAGGTGACCCGCCGCTTTTGAAGGGGGAAGGAGAACTGGTACTGGACCTTAGCAGCAGTTGGAAACGAAAACGAGACAGCTTAGAAAGAAGATGTTCGTTTTCTCTCTCCCTGCTGAAAAGGCAGGCAGCGTTTGCCCATAAGTGAAGGATGCATGGGTAACAAAGTTGCTGAGGGCAAGTTTCCCCTTCAGAGAAAGTTTTGAGAAGTCCTCTCGAAGAAGCCCCAGAAAAGAAAGTTTGAAAAGAAGTCCATAAGTGGAGTTTGGAGCTAAAGCCGTTTGAGAAGAAGAGCAAACACGTGCCTTTTCAAAAAGTGTTTTAGCGCGTGTTTAAGTAAATTTTCACCTTCTAGCGGCCGGAAAAGAAAGGTGTAATTTCCAGGCGGACTGGAAGAAAATAAGTGAAGTAAGAAGGGAGTTTGGTCACCAGGAAGAGAATCTTGTCTACACAAGAGAGAAAAGAAAAAAGATAAAAACTTTTGAACCTTGAAAGGACTGAAAGTGTACTGTAGAGACCTCTTGTTTTATTGTTATCATTGACACAACAGGTGGGCGCTATTCTTTTTTGTTTGTTTGTTTGTTTTTGTATGTGTGCATTGTAATTTTTAAGTTTGTTTCTGCTATGTTTTTTGCATTATCTTACTCAGAGAAAAGGTTATCTTATTATCAGCAAAAAGGGACGGATTTTTGCAAGAACCCTTATTTAGTTGGTTAGAAATAAATATTTTTCTTTGTAATTGAATCTGATTTTCATTGTATTTTATTTTATTTTTCGTTATTAATTCGGGCAATAGTGAAAATACTGTTTCAGCAGGTTTTATTTTCTGTCAGAAAATAAAATTTCCGAAACTAGTTTCTCTTTAGTTTCATGTGCTATTCATTTTAGGTGTTGCTGCTCTTGGTAGTCCTCAAGTGATGCGATTTCTGCCACTCGTTACAGTTTTTTGTTCATTTGCCTAAACTAGTCAAGAAACATGGAAATAACTTGAAATATATGGAAATGATCTACACAGTCTTTACTTTCGAATCTCGGTAGAATCCAAAGTCGTCTGGGATTTCTTCCTGGCCAATAAAAAATAGACCACTTCTCAGTCTCATCCGCCATATTTTAGTTCTTTCTTGTCTTGGAAGTAAGGACGTTATAATCACTTGACTGTATCCCTTTTGCGTGTTAACATCATTCTTACTTTCTGAACGCCTTCCTCCTATGTACATTTAATATTACAGTGTTACTGAGTTAGGCAAATACTTGGAGACAAAAACATTTCGATAAACATTGGCTTATCTGTTACTTTATCTTTGCATGTAGAGCCCAGATAGAATATTCAGTCTTTTTCTTGGAGAAGAAGAAACAAGATTCTTCCATGCCATCAGACACGCTGCTCTAAATATGTCTTCAAATGCTGAAAGTAATTTATTAACACTTCTTCATTTTTATTTTTCTTTCTTTTTGTAGGTTTCCTATAGCAAAGCTCATTCCATCCCAAGTTACCGGCGACATTTTGTCTCTGGCAAATATTACTCTGTACCGCTGGCCCTGCCGACATATGCCACATATATGGAGGTAAATATTAAATTATTTACAGTGGGGTTGAATAAGGGATTGTACAGCTAACAAATTCTTGTTATTCTCACTTATAGCGAATGAAAACCTCGAATAACAATGTTATATATGTATTTTGGGGCATAGAATCAGAATCTGCAATTTAAAATTAGAAATTTATCGATAAGTGATAATACAAATTATTATATTTCGAATAGTAGAAAAAAGTGTTCGTACAGTATCAATTTTTGCATTGTAATATGGTAGATTTTGGTTGTACTTCAAAGTAGAAGATTCTAAACTGTTCTAGAATATTCTCAGTAACTCTATTGCAACATTCAGTTCAAAATTGGATCATTCTGCAGTCACTGTTCACTGATAACGGTTCTAATAATGACTAGACGTAAGGAAATGACTTGTTCCCCCTGCCCCAAAAGCTAATTATTAAGCTATGAAACAATGGAAAAAGTTACAGAAACATCTCCAGTGACACGAACATATCTTTTTCAACAATTGGTTAATCTATTGCAAGATTTAAAAGACGTAATACTATTGAGAACAAAGGCAGACCCGGTGCTCCCAGGAAGATCTCTCCCAGATTACGAAGGAAGTTGATGTGACAGGTCCAAAATAACCCAATGGCCATCAGACAAGATCTTCAGAATGATTTGAGTTTGTCATGAGTTAACGTAACTAAGCAAACGATTAATAATGAACTACGCAGAGACGGTATAAAGTCGCGCTTCCCAAGAAAGACACCACTCCTTCTGAAACAGCATAGACATGCCAGGTTGAAATTTGCGACAGAGCATAAAGATAAGGAAAATTCTTATTGGGAAAGAGTTCTTTGGACAGATGAGAGTAAAATTGAGTTGTTCGGTCGCAATTCCCTGAATCATGGATGGAAGAAAGACGATGAAGCATACACACCCAAGAACACCATACCAACTGTCAAATTTGGTGGGGGTAGTATCATGGTTTGGGGCTGCTTTTCGACGCAAGGTGTTGGCAAACTAGAAATTATAGATGGTAGAATGAATGCAGAAAAATATCAACAAATCCTAAGCGAAATTTTCTGTAGAGAATCTTGGGCTTCCTCCTGATTGAATCTTCCAGCAGGACAATGATCCCAAGCATACTGCTAAGAGTACGAAGAATTGGCTTGCTAATAACAATGTTAACATCTTACAATGGCCCAGTCAGTCGCCAGATTTGAATCCAATAGAGAATTTATGGCGGTTTTTGAAAAATAAGAGCAGTGATAGAGGTCCAACAAACATCAAAAACCTGAAGACAATTACTCAGGAAGAATGGGACAAAATACCTACTAAAGTATGCGAATCGTTAATTAAAGACTACAGGAAGAGATTGGTTGCTGTGGAACTTAATAAAGGTTTTGCTACAAAATATTAAATGGAGAAAACATGTTTTTGTTCTGCTATACGATCATTTTTTAAACCCCTAAAAATTTAAATATTGCTATATTTTCTTAACCATGGAATATTATTTAGTTTTATATGCATACATTTTTAGTATGCAATCTGATACAGTAGATATATTCCCGTTTTCTTAATTTAATGTGTTAAAAATAAAAATATGAAATATTTTCATGTGTACGATCTCTTATTCAACCCCACTGTATATATCGTGATATTAAGTGTAAGATTTAAGATCTGATGCGGGAAAATTCCCGGTTCTATCCCTACCCAAAATCTGACCACATTTTTTTTTATCATTTGACCCTAAGCAAGACGCAAGACGCAAGACGCAAGGGGTTACTGAGAATGAAAGGGGATGAAAAGACTTTCGTGAGGAGAAAGGACAATAAAAAAATATTTTAAAATGACAATATCCATCTTTGGATACTGGTGAAGACATGTGAACTTTTTTTAATTATTTCACCACAAGAAAGGCGATAATGTCACTAAGAAGCAAGGGGTTACTGAGAATGAAAGAGAATGAGAAAACTTTAGTTAGAAGAAAGAACAATAAAGAAATGTTTTAAAATTACACATTTTTGGATAATGTTGAGGACATATGAAGCTACTTTAATCATTTCACCTCAAGAAAGGCGATGATGCCGCTAAGACGCAAGGGGGTTACTGAGAATGAAAGAGAACGAGAAGACTTTCGTGGGGAGAAAAAGACAATAAAAGAGCAGGAATAGAGATGACAACTGACGTTGCATTTAAATTTTTGAAGGTGGCAGGAAGCAAGAAATTGGAAAAGAGTTCAACAAATGAGATCCGAAAGAAAAAAAGTATTAGAATAGAACTTACGGTTACATCTTTTGCTATTTCAAGAGTGAAACGATGAGACCTATCTGCCAATCTAGTCATTTGTTTAAATTCATATGGAAAAGGTACCAAGGATAGGAGCTTATGAGAACAATTGCTATGAAAATACTTATAGAAAAAACAGAGAGATGCTATGTCATGGCGTTGGGAAAGTGACTGAAATTGAGATGCCAGGTTAGGACCGATAACATTACAGACCCCACTTTGGACTTCAACAATTCATATCAAATCACAAAAACTATTAAGGACATTCACATTTTATACCTTCAAGATAAATAAACTCTTTTAACTGGGGTTCAAACTCACTGAAACCCTTTTATTCTACCTTCTTCCTTGTCATTTGCAACTTTTTGTATGCGCTGGTGTCTTTCTTGTGATATTTCATGTTATTTGATTTATATTGATTGTAAACTTGATCTTTTTTTTTTTTTTACAATTACCATTGGGCTTTACTCTAGAAAAAAATAAATTATTTATCCAGAAATTTATTACTTCTTTTTCCAGACTCACAAACCACCAAACTTGGGAATATTGAGTAAATTTTTTTTTAAATGAAATTGCTTTTGTTTTATATATCACTGAATTGACTTGTGGCTTTCTCCACAATCACTTTAAACCAAATTTAGTTAATGACTTTTTTTTTCAGGGCTGGGCCACTTATGCTGAGTACCTCGGGGAAGAATTGAATCTATACAAAGATCCTTACGAATTGTAAGTTTTCCTTTTTTTTTATATCCCACGTTCCATTGAGAAATAACCGCTTAAACCCTTTTGTAACCAATACAGTGACATGACAGGGAACTTTGGGCAAAGTTTCCAGAAAATTCAGACGTTATTCAAATTTTCTCATCAAAGACCCAATTTTTTAATCATTTCAGAAAGAAACTATATATTTAGTGGTGAGAATATCAAAAAAGCTACTAATAAAAAGTGAGGACAATAAAAAATTTTAAGAAAGACAAAGAAACGATTGACATTGCATCGAAATTTTGAAGAAAAGGCAAAAAAGCTACGTTACGGCGGTGGGGGAAAGTTACTGAAGCCAAGATGCCAGGTCAGGACCGATTACATTACAGATTCTTCTTTGGATTTTATCAAGATTCTCTAAATATACAACGATCCCGATCTATGGTGTTTGAGAAAGCCAATTTCCGTGAGAAGACACTTCCAGAAGAATTCCATAGGAGTAAGGATGAGACGATTTCACTGTCCGCTCTCTGGCAGTGACCGGCAAACTGCAATCGTTTTTGTTTGAGCTTGAGAGAGAGTGGTCTCAGTTCTCCTTAAATTGAGATAAGCGTTGCATTGGATCACCAACTGGTGGAGATCACCTTAATAGCTGAGAGTGCACGCTAGTTAATTTTTTTTATATGGGGAAATAGTAAATGTACTATTATTAATTTCTATCAAGATTAGGCATGTAGAAGTTACTAAAAGTTGGTCCTAGAATTGAACCCATGGACACGCCATCACGTTGTACTTATACATTATTGGGATTGACATAGAATGAAACCCCAGTCAAGAGTAGTTTCCGTAATATGTTAGGTTTAATTTTGAATGGAGGAAGAGATGGGTTATTGTAAATATTCTTAATAATTATATCACTCGTTTCTCAAACTGAGACATTGGCAAACAAACTTTTAGCATCAAGTGAGGTTATGATTTCATTATTAGGTTTTTGCGTTTTTAAGATTTGGATTAGTTCATGTGTTGAATTAATACTTTATTTACAAGGTACGTATGGTGTAATGCGCTGGTTAATGATTTAGGTTAATTGATAAACCAGATTAGGTATTTAGAATGATAGGACGGGGAGGGAAGTTAGGTTTATGTATATTTGTACTGCTATACATGTATCCTGGTTTGTAGTCACCAATTATTTTAAGAAATTTTAAAATGCGTTGTTCTGTGTTGTTGGATGTGATCAGTTTGTTGATTTTCAATTTTAGTTGGTTAAAAGATTTTTGTTGACTTTTTTTCAAATTGGGTGCGGTCGTCAAGTTTATATTAAAAAATGAAAACTAACACTAAATAATCTTAATTATGAGTATAGCAGCAATGTTTTAAAATGTCTATAAAAGCAACGTTTTCAGATGCACAAATTGTAAAAAAATGTGAAGGTTGAGTATTTTTAAAACATTAATAATAATAAATTCAAACTAAGTTACCTCCCTTACATATTCTTAACGTAAATTGACTATAAAGGGGGGCGTTTCATGCACATTAACCCCCCCTCCAATTTACAACTATCAATTATATTAATTTTTTGTCTTAGCAATTCACCCTTGAAGATGATCTTGGATGAGATTGAAAGTAGTTGCCAAAATAAAAGAAATAATCAAAACTACGGTGTCTTTCTTAATCAGTTTTGTAATAACATTAAGAAAGAGATTCTTGAAATTGAAGATATGCCGCATACATACATACATATATATATATATATATATATATATATATATATATATATATATATATAAAAGTCCAAAGTGAATTCTAATGACATAAAATATAAAAATGATTCACAAAAGAGACGTCAATGTATTTATTTTAACTGCATATTTAAATAAATAAATTATATATAAAAGAAATTAAAAAATACTGTAATATTTTGAATTTCTCTCAAAACAATTTTTATATATATATATATATATATATATATATATATATATATTATGAAATGGACAAAAGTCCGACAATTATTTTAAGACATTTTTCATGTTTCGTGTCTACTCACCAGTTATTGACTAACGCCTAATAAGATGTGTTAGTACACATTGAAACATGATTGCATTTGTAGCTTTTTTACATGCTTTTGATCTAATATCCTAAAATAAAGTATATATATATATATATATATATATATATATATATATATATATATATATATACACACACTTTATTTTAGAAACATGATTGCATTTGTGTAGCCTTTTTTACATGCTTTGATCTAATATCCTAATATATATATATATATATATATATATATATATATATATATATATGTGAAAAGTGAATATAAATATAAATAAATATATATATATGTATAATTATTTATATATTATATGCGCAAACCCAGGATCACAAACTCACATCTATCCAACCAAATATATATATATCCAACCAAATATATATATATATATATATATATATATATATATATATATATATATATATATATATATATCTTAATATATATATATATATATTAACTGATTTAAATATGTTTTTTTTCGCTACACAGTAATAACCATGTTTCAAAAATGGAAGCTAAAAACTTCAAATTTAATTATATAATTAAATTAAAGGCATTAGTTCCGTTTCGTCTTCAAGCGAATTTTTGGAATAACTTATTTTTAAATTTACTGTAGCTTGTTCATTTTTATTAACTATTGTTGTATCAATTATGAGTTACGTCCGAAAAAGAGGTTAAGTTTAAGGAGGGTAGGGGAGCATTTTCAACAAATTCTGACATCAGTTAAACGCATATCGTCTGTTTTTTTTTCTGGGGGGAGGGGGTTAACGGCAAAATTTTTTTCGTACTTATATACTTAAAGATTCTATCTTGGGGTGTTTGGGTTATAATACGTTTTATTTAACTACAATTTTTAAATATTTCTACTCTTAATTACTAATAGACTGTATTTCTATTTAAAACAAGTAAATGTAATAGAATTATTTAAATTATTTTAAAATTTTTCATATCAAATATAAGTATGTATACTCCAGCTCCCATTTTTCTATTTTATTTTTATTTTTAAATATTATTTAAGGAAAATTTTTTATTGTTTTGTAAAAATGTTTGGTTGTTTTGTAAAAATAAAATAGAAAATATCAATAAGAACACCGGATTTATATCTTACAGTTCTTTATATTTATATATATATATATATATATATATATATATATATATATATATATATATATATATATATATATATATATATAGTGTGTGTGTGTGTGTGTGTATATATATATATATATGTATATTATTGAGAACGACAGAAATTTTATGTCGATTAATTTAAATGATCGTCTTTTCCAAATATGAATAATTCTATTAATGTCGGATGTATAATAGTATCCTAAAAAAGTGAAGATGTAGCTGGATGTTATATGCACTAAAAGAAGAAAAGAAACTTTTTTTTTTCGGGTGGCGGTAGATTCTTGGGAAAAAGAATGTGTTCCTGACGGCTGGCGTGATGCATTAATGGTACTACTTTTCAAAGGGATTCCTGACGGTGAAGATATTTACGATATCTACAGAAGTATTACTGTTCTGCCTGTAGTTGGTAAATTTTGTATGTAGAATCACGTTGGACTGACTGCTCAATCCTACTGTTAATGACGTGTTTCAAGAATCTCAGTGTGGCTTTTGAGCAGGTCGGATTACCAAGGATACGACCTTTTCGGCAAGGAAATTACAGGAGAAGCGCGTGGTGCAGAGAGTGCATTTTTATGAAGGCTTTGTTGATTTGACAAAGGCATTTGATACAGCGAAGAGGATTGCTTTGTAGAAGACATTGAGAGAAATCGGCTGACAAGAAAGATTTATTAACATGCTTCGAGGTTTTCGTCATGGTATGAATGCTAAATGGTGGTACGCTGTCAGAAGCATTTGAAGTGAAGAATGGAATGGAGCTTACAGAACATTTTAAAGTCCTTTACGGGGCATTCAAGGACTAAGATGCTGGTTTATATAAACGCAATTCCACCCCTTGTAATGTACGAGGTCTGAGCAAAAGGTATGGAGACTGTCGTTATGGTAACGGAGATAACGTATGTAGAGTGAAGCCGATTGGCACAGATTGACCCTGACCTCTCACGCGTATGCACACTAAGTTATAACGTTCACGCTCGCCTCCCTTGTTTATAGCAGTGCTTGAAAGGAAAGTGTGTAGAGTGTGGTCGTCTCAAAACATCATGGAATTTCCATCCGTGACCATAGCTTGTGCAGCAATCTTTGGCTAAAGACAACATTCCCCAGGCCTGGCAACCACCATATTACCGTTTCTACTACTGTTAATTTGCCTTGCATATATTCTTTGCTTATTAGACTCATTCAACTCCTTCCGAACCGTCTGCACTGTTCTCAGATTGACAACCTAATACTCTGAGATGTTTGTAATGGTGCTGCCGGCGCGAATGCCAAGCAGTACAGCATGCCGTTTTCTGGCGGTGTGAATTGCGTCAAGGTGCTCTTTTTCTCACAGACGGTGCCCAACTGACCCTACTATACTTTTCAGTCGACAAAATCAAAAACCACCAATGCGCATGCGCGAAATGAAAACTATAAAACGGTGACAATTTACCCATCGTACCCTGTATATATACATACATATATGTGTGTGTGCGTGTGTGTGTCTAGGTATGTGTGTGTGTCTAGGTATGTGTGTGTGTGTGTGTGTGTGTGTGCCTAGGTGTGTGTGTTTATTCGTTCCAGATTGTCAAATAAATAAAGCTTTCCTAATTTTCTAATTTTGCAGATTCGGGCGATATTGTCACGAAATATTTCGCGCGGTTCGATTGGTTGTCGATCCCGGAATTCATGCTTTTGGGTAAGTCACGTGTTTACAGATATTCGACAGTGACGTCACACATTTTGGGCCTTCCTCTTTCATAGTTGACAGTGGTTATAGCAGTCTAATCTTTTATATTAATGACTTCATGCGACCTTCAATAAGTTCTAATGATTAGATCCAGTGTGTTTTTACATCAAGTCGTACTACCTCAAACAGAAGCATCTTTCACAGAATAGTTGCATTGCCAGGCAATGCGGACTTCTGAAGCGATGGGGAAACGTGACCTTATTTCTCTTTTTCTTAAGGTAAATGTTCAGTTTGCCCTTACGATACCTGGCACAATAGTAATATGAATGTCTCACATTCAGGCTACATCAAACAATCAATTATTATTATTATTGAGTGGTAAAATCTTTTCAGAGAGTAATTTTAAGTCCTTAATTATGGTACTGATGAATAAAAAGGGCCCCTTAGGCGAGTCACCTATGCACATCTGCAATGTTTCGTTTAGGGGGAGAGGGTTGTGCGGATGATGGGTGCAGTTCCGTATAAAGATCCAAGAATTTTAATCACGTGATTTTTGGTTCTTTCTTTCTTTCTTTCTTTCTTTCTTTCTTTCTTTCTTTCTTTCTTTCTTTCTCCTTCTTCTTCTTCTTCTTCTTCTTCTTCTTATTATTATTATTATTGTTATTATTATTTCCGTACGGTTTTTCAAACAGAAAGCAACTTTCAGAGAATATTTGCATTGCCAGGCAACGCGGACTTCTGAAGCGATGGGAGAACGTGGCCTTATTTCGTTTTTATTAAGGTGGGACTAAGAGGTCTAGTATAAGAAAATAAATAAAATTGAAAAAGGAATAGAAAAATGTAACGTTACATCGAAAATCAAATTTCTAAATTTTCTAACGATTTTATTATTATTATTATTATTATTAGTAGTAGTAGTAGTAGTAGTAGTAGTAGTAATGTTTTAGCTGTGTTGATATTAATTTCGTTAACAATTTATCTATATTTGCAGGTGGCCGCGGGAACGAGCTATTGATTTCATATTGAATTACACCGAATTTCCCAGGTCTCAGGTCGAAATCGAGGTTGACCGATATATCACGTGGCCCGGTCAAGCGTGTTCTTATAAATTGGGTGAAATTAAAATTAAAGAACTTCGAAGAAAAGCAGAAACCGAATTAGGTAAGAATCTATTTACACAAACAAAGAACAAAAATAAACTATTCTATGCCATCGGGGAGAGTGGCTTAACTTCGGTGATCGTACGGGAAACAGGGTTTAAACTTGATGTGGCCGTAAGGCGTAGCATGCACACGTCCAAGCTTACAAAACCTGCTAACCTGAAACAGTTACCAATATAGATACTGACCAGGCTCGACGTTGCTTAACTTCGGTGATCGTACAGCAAACAGTGTTTAAACTTGATGTGGTCGTAAGGCATACCATGCACACGTCCAAGCTTACAGAACCTGCTAATCTGAAACATTTACCAATATAGATACTGACCAGGTTCGACGTTGCTTAACTTCGGTGATCGTACAGCAAACAGTGTTTAAACTTGATGTGGCCGTAAGGCATACCATGCACACGTCCAAGCTTACAGAACCTGCTAATCTGAAACAGTAACCAATCTAGATACTGACAAGGTTCGACGTTGCTTAACTTCGGTGATCGTACGGGAAACAATGTTTAAAGCGATGTGGCCGTAAGGCATACCATGCACATGTCCAAGTTTCCAGAACCAGCTAATCTGAAACAGTTACCAATCTAGATACTGACTATGCTCAACGTTGCTTAACTTCGGTGATCGTACGGGAAACAATGTTTAAACGCAATGTGGCCGTAAGGAATGCTACCCACATATTCAAGCTTACAGCGCCTGGTATTCTCAAGTGATTACCCTTCTAGGTACTGACCTAGCTCGACGTTGCTTAACTTCGGTAATCGTACGAGAAACCGGTGTTTAAACGTGATGTGGTCGTAAGCCTGCAAACGGAAAGCGATCAACAATAAGGATGGCTTGAAAGAATAAACATTGTGCAATGGGTAAATTGTTGCCATTTTATATTTTTAATTTCGCGCAAGCATGTTGTTTGTTTTTGATTTTGTCGAGCCCAATTTTTGTCGAGTCCAATTTTTGTCGAGCCCAATTTTTGTCGGGCCCAATTTTTGTCAGGCACAATTTTTGTCGGGCCCAATTTTTGTCGAGCCCAATTTTTGTCAGGCACAATTTTTGACGAGCCCAATTTTTGTCGAGCTCAATTTTTGTCGGGCCAAATGCTGATTTTTAAGGAAAAACAATGCTATGCTTAAAATATGGTACATGCTCATCGTCACCTGGTGTTAAAAAGATTCTATCGGCAATTTTTGTTTTGTTTTTTAGTTATGGTCCGTGGCACATTCTCTCTGCAACGCCCTATATGACCACATAAGATTTTTTTTGTTTTATTGTATTAGCAGATGCAGACAGACGAGGTGCCATGTAATCAAAGAAAAAAATGTATGTAATCGTGGTCACTGCATGGATGTGATGTCTATGCAAGATGTGAAAAGTACGCATGCGTACGATTTTTTTGCAATTCACATATTTTATGGCTGCCAGGTATTTGGTCTCCATATTTGTTTGCTCCTTTCGCTGTCGTTTCCAAAGCCCCAATATCAACAGTTTTTTTTGTTGTTTTGAGACTCCACAGTCGACTGATTTCTGTTTCGAGATCCTTCTACTTACTTAGTTTCTCAAAGATTTTCAAAGATGTATTTTTGTCGGCTGGATCTGCAACATCTGTCAGAAGACATGTATTTTCAACATGATTTTTAACAATATGCTCGATTTGCCTGGATTTTTCTACCAGTCTGGACGTAGAGATTTCAGATGATGGTAACCTCCACATTCTGTACAACTTGTGGTGGATTATGTCCCACTAATTATCTTTTCGAGGGTGGTTGAATACACGACATATTGTCCAATATTGTACTAAGTAAACCTATCTTTCTGTCTTATTTTACTCTAAAGTTATTATCTGTATGGAATTATTATTTAATGGAGATAAGTCACGTGGGTCACATGACCGCCTCTTAGTGACGTCATTTCATACAGTGACAAAGATGGCCAGTCATTCAGTCAGTAAGCGTATTGATGTCAAGACACGCGTGCATGTTCGTCCTGCTCGGGCTTAAGCCCGGGGTAACCAGCTGCTAAATGCTACATCTGTTAGTGCCGTTTTCTTTGGGAAATATATCTTCCCCAGGTATGGAAAGGAGCTGCGGCTCTCAGTCCTCAATTTAGGAAAACCCAAAACCCGTTGTTTCCTTTTCGTGAAATATGTCCTCGCCTGGGACATAGTAGATAAATATGGAGTCCTAAACATGGCTTCTCCAGAAACACAGAAGAATCTCCATATTATACGTAAAACTCTTCATTTGTGTTTCTCCTTACACTCGGTTTGCTGTGTAGATATATGATATATTGTTTTCCAAGTGAGACACATGTAGATATGTATATATAACTTTATGTACTACGTAGCAGGATAAAAGTCTCTCTGAGAACCAAGCATGTTTGTCATTCATTTACCATTTAGCTATAACGTTCCGTCCGTGAGTTACGGTGTTATTATATCACGGATATAATGCCCATAATGGGGGAAAAGCATTTGTGAGGATAAAACCTTCTATAATCGTCATAATCGCGTATGTCCTGAAACAAAATCATTTCAGTCACATAATTACTACAGCCACCATAATGCCTCAAAGTCTCTATGATGTCCTAACTAGTTTTCATATGTACAAATTGTCTGTAAAAATAAAACCCCAACGAATATTTGCAAAGAGAAAAGCTCACCACAAAGATTACCATGAAAATATTTGCAGAAAAGACAGAGGTCATCCATGTCACAACGGTGAGGAGTGACTGAAGCTGAGATGCCAGGTCATTGATCGATAACATTGCTGATTCTTGTTCGGAATTTGTAAAGAATCTGTAAATTCTGTGTCCTCTTTTTTTAATGGCTTTTAATCATTTTTTTTATCTTCCAGGCAGCCTCTTCAACATTAAAGAATTCCATCATCAGGTTTTGAGGTACGGTCGTATGTCCTTGGATGTCTTAGAAGACGTAATCTACGAATGGATCAACTCTGTGAAGCAAATGGCAGACGACGCCCGGTCGTGTGCAGCAGCTGTTTCCTACCTCAACAACAGAAGAGCTCTCTCATCGTTCATGATCATTGTTATCGTTTCACTTGCGACTCATATAAAAAAATTACTGCTACTGAATCCGCTTTGACACTAAAGGGTTTATTCATTATTTCTAATTATCAAATATTGTTTTATTTATTTAATAAATATTTACCTATCATTGTATTTGAGTTATTTTTTATTTCATTGTCTCTTTCATTTCATATATGGTGATTTTGTAAGCGTAGGTTAGATGTGGCTGTAAGCGTTCTGAAAGCAAATGAAAAATTTGTCGCAGATTAATTCCACAACGAAGAGAATAAATCACTGTAAGTTCAGACTCGAATATCGAGGGCAGAAAGAAATGCCGAAATCTCGATTCGCAGGTACTATCTCACAAATCACAATGCATGTAACCAGTTAGAAAAATAACTCACTCTCCGACCAACGCGGTAGCCAAAATACACGAATTCATCCCCCCGACTCGAGAACACCAACTGCTTTTATCGGCCGAGCATTTTTTTCCATTTGTCGACAACTGGAAGAGGACGCACAATTTTTGCATATCAAAATACTTTTATAGCGTTGGACTTGTTTTTTAATTTAAATATTCTGTCTTCAGCACGTCATGCGGAATACGTGCCCATTTTTTTGTTTTTTTGTTTCTTTGTTTTTTTGGTAAGTAATTTTCTTTTTCGCCGCATTTTCCGTCGTAAGATACACGCGACGTGCTGTCGATTGGTTTGATGATGTAAGTCACCGTTTTCTTCGCTATAGTGGCACAAGGCCGAAAGTGTGGGGCAACCCAATGAAGATCGAAGCTACTACTTAGTTGTAATTGTTCTAACAAGACAAGACACTGATGTGCCCAAAGAACTGTAGTATGAGATCGGATGAGACATTTCACGAAATTCACACCAAACATTAAGGAAGCCGGTTGAAGAGTGTTAACCTGGTGCCCTTGCCTGCTATTTAGCTATAGCTATTTCCCCAATTAGCACGTACGTGAATGTAATGGATTCAACTGGAATTCGAACTCCTATTCCTCGGTCCGAGCCATTATCCACTACTCCACCGTGCCACCTATGCCGGCCTTCTTCACAAGGTGGGTTATGGTATTACAGATCGAATGTTTGACCTAATACAATCGTTCCTGTCAAACCGTGAATTGAAGGTCGTTCTCAACGGATTCTCCTCCAGTTCCTATCCCACGAACGCAGGTGTTCCCCAAGGCTCCATCCTTGGCCCCACTCTATTCCTTATCTTCATCAACGACCTTCCTGACGCCATAGATTCCCAAGTTGGCATATACGCGGACGACACTACAATTTACTCCTGCCTCAAAAACAAATCTAGTGTCGGTGACAAAACTAACCTGGCCGCTCGTCTTGAAATAGACCTCCAATCGGTTGTTAATTGGGGCAAGAATTGGCTGGTCAACTGGCCTCAAAAACTAAACTACTCTCTATTAATCACCATAGAGATCCTTCCCCCATTGATAGTCAACTTCTTGAGAGCAACTCTCGGCGTCTGCTCGGTCTCACGTTGACTGGGTTGACAAATACATCGAGAACCAATTCGCTTCGTCCACCGCGAGGAAAGTTGGCTCTCTGTGCCGTGCCAGGAAATTTTTCTCCCGGAATCGATGCTTCAAATATACAAATCAACCATTCGCCCTCGTAGGAGTATTGCTGCCATATATGGTCTGGGACACCTTCTGTTTACCTTGGTTCTTGACAAGATCCAGAGACGGATATGTAATATAAATTGGCCCTGATCTGGCATCTCGTCTACAGTCACTCTCTCACAGACGTGCCGTCGCCTCTCTCTGTCTTTTTTACAAATACTTTCATGGTAATTGCTCCGATGAGCTGCTTTCACTGGTTCCCAGACTCCATGAATTCAAGTGCCCTACGAGGCTGGCATCCCGCTCTCACCCTTACACTGTAGAAACTTTTAAATGTAGCCGTCTCTTCTAGCTTCATACCTTGCACCTCTCGCCTGTGGAACACCCTTCTCAATTACTGTTTCCCTGAGAGCTATAATCTCCAACTATTCAAATGTAATGTCAATCGACATCTCCAGTTGCCTTGATCTATCCACTATCCCTCTCCTCATCCTTTCTTCTATCACTCCAATCTGCTCTTGTTCCAAATCTTCTGCAACCCCCTGCATCCTAGTGGCTTCACGCCTTGCTCCGGGCGTAACGCTTAAAAAAAAATTTAAAAAAAAAAGTTTTAATAAATTCTACTCATAGGATTTGTTTAATTTTTATTTTTTATTATTTTCTAATTTTCGAATTTTTTTGTATATCAGGATTGAAATTGCGAATAAACTGTCCGATGATCATGTTTGCTCGGCTATTTTTTTTTCGATCGTCTGCGTCATCTTCAAGAACCATAGATTGTCAGTCGGGTAAGCAAGATACGTGTCCTGGTATATTATAGGGATCTGAAAGTTTAAATTAGTGCAAAGTGATGTCATACGTAAAGGAGTGTACAGCGCACTGGAAAAGAACGCATTAAATATTAAGCTCCTTTTTTTTATTATGCATGGAAAAATACGCATATGTGAAGGTTTAGATTACGAACGAAAAAATGCTTACCATATGATGTGGGTAGGGGTAACACTTGCGCTCAGATCTGACAGTTTAACCACCAGAATCTGGGACGAAAAATACATTCCTTTACGCAACATGTGTAGGTAAAGAATAATTGTTTTCAGGTGGAGCCAACAACAGAAGTAAAAGAAATGAGAGTCGGGCAGACGGGGGGGGGGAGTTTTTTTTTTGTTTTTTTGCAATTTGTTAATTTATATTTATTGGATTATTATTACGAAAGGTCGGTTAACAAATCATCCCTTTTCCGATTTAATTCAAATATATTAATCAGAATTCCTAGAGTTCTTTTTTTCACCTATAAACCTTCAAAGTGCCTAGCAGCCCTGGCTGAAATTTTGTGTAACTAGAATTTTTTTTTTTTTTTTTTTTGCACGCGTGTTAAAATCCTCACAGTATTGTTGACGTTTTCGGGAACATTTTTTGTCGAGATTTACAAACTCTACATTTCGTTCAATTTCGCAAACCAATCGATGAAATTTGAATAAGCTGATTTGTTTGAAAAAAAAAAGTTCATATTGCAGTCCGTTACTAAAGGGGTCCGTGAATAAAGGGGTCTGGGAAAAAAAAACAACATCATAGTTTAATTTCTTTAATTCAATTTAATTTTATTCTTCATGGGAAACAATTTTTTTTTATTTCTTTTTTCCTTTTTGTGTTAAAAATGAAAAAAAAATTCTTAGGATTTCTTACTCTTGAGCATGCAACATAATGGGTAACTATTTCTTTCTAGAGCCAAATTCCAACTTTTTGATGCGTTTGACTTTGTGAATGGTTCATAGTTCTTGAAAACGTAGAACGAACTTGAAAGTGAATTCTTGTATATAAAACTTAAAGAAAAGATATGCAAATAACAATATTATATTTTTATTAAATAAGTATTTGTTATTTTAATCAATGGAAGAATTTGCTATGTTGAATAATAAAACTTTTAATTTTTCCAAAAAAATGAATGAAAATTTATTGTACTAAGCTACGCACCCAACCAACTGTATACCCATACCTGTTTACACTTCTCCCCAAAATTTGGTTTCGATCAGCCAATATGGCTATTTTAGATGGTGGTACGGGTGGAAGGACTAACGGAAGTCACAGAATTTACCCATAATTCTCTTTCAATATGGCTGTCTCTCTGGACAGGCGTAGAAAGTAAAAAGCTGTCATAAAATTTCTGTTTTTGGGAGGAGAAAGTACTACAATCTTTGAAAATGCTATAAACACAGGAAATAGATGAGGTCAGTAGGATAAATAACAACGCAAGCCCTCACAGCAGTTTAAAATCCAGACAATCATCGGGGAGGACTGGACAACCTCGCCTCACTCACACTACAAACTTGAACTGACATCTTTAGACCAGCGGTTTAGACACAGACCCCTTTATTCACGGACCCCTTTAGTAACGGACTGCAATAAGAACTAGTCCTTCACAGACAGACAAACAGATACTCACAGGCTGACTGTTTTTTCACATTTGTACGTGCAATTCCCTATACTTCACTCTCATGCAATCTGCACACGCATCACTTTTAAGCCAACCACGCTTGAAAGAAATTCTGGTTACTTAATTAATCCAATATATGTGAAGATAATCAGAAGATAAACCATGGAAAATGAGGATTATCACTTGCTCTTATGACGTGGCAAAAATGGTGGTCGTGCAGCGAATGATAACACACGTTTAAAATTTGTAGCAAGTTAAAAAATACTGTAAGTTGTGACGGTGCGTTTTCTTTTAAGTAGTGGTAGAATGCATTTTCCTTTATTTATTTCAATATTAATTTTTAGCTGACCCTTACAGACATTCTGAAACACATCTATGGACGCCAGGTTAAGAATCGCTGCTTTAGACTTTCATCTGTTTTGGTTCGTGAAGCGGTTCTCTAATGATGAAGCGAAAGCAACAACACGCATATGGCAGACCAAGCTGCCATTAAACTTTTTACAAGACAGGTATACAAGCACTCATTCAAAGATAGACTTTTAGGATTACAAAGAAAGGATTTAATGTTAAAGACTAGATTTGGAATCCTGAGAATTCTGTGTTTATTTTGGTAGGATTTGGGTGTTCCTATTATTAAATCTGTTGTAATTAAAGAAGAGCAGGCATTATATTTTTACCAGCACTCATACAAAGATTGTAAAGGAAGGTACATTTGTTGAGGATTCGATTTAGAATTCTGAGACTTTTATGTTCCTTTTGATGTGTTTTCTTTGCTTCTACTCTGAAATCCGTTGTAATTAAAGAAGGCATTACATTTTGACCGACTACTTGTGATGAAAGGTAATACTTAATGCCTATTTCTGCATTCTTCTTAATAATTTCCAGCGCACTTGTCATCATCTTGCGGCCTCAGCCGAGATTGAACTCACCAATACTTTGATTGGTGTAGTTCATAATTTTGTCAAATAGCTGAATTCTTGATGCTTCACTAGGGCTATCAAGGGTGTTTTTATCGTGACACCAACACTAAATGGATTGCCAATCAAGGCTC